CCTTGACTATTTCCACATTTTGTTACGTTACAGCCTTATTCTAAAATAGATTCAATTGTTTTTTTCCCCTTCATCAATCTACACACAATATCCCATGATGACAAAGCAAAAACTGTTTTTTAGAAATTGTTGCAAAAATAAACTGAAATATAACATTTACATAAGTATTCAGACTAAGTATTTTGTTGAAGCACCTTTGGCAGTGATTACAGCCTCGATTCTTCTTGGGTATGACGCTACAAGCTTGGCACACCTGTATTTGGGGAGTTTCTCCCATTCTTCTCTGCAGATCCTCTCAAGCTCTGTCAGGTTGGATGGGGAGTGTCGCTGCACAGATATTTTCAGGTCTCTCCTGAGATGTTGGATCAGATTCAAGTCCGGGCTCTGGCTGGGCCACTCAAGGACATTCAGAGACTTGTCCTGAAGCCACTCCTGTGTTGTCTTGGCTGTGTGCTGCTTAGGGTCGTTGTCCTGTTGGAAGGTGAACCTTCGACCCAGTCTGAGATCCTGAGCGCTCTGGAGCAGTTTTTCGTCAAGGATTTCTCTGTACTTTGCTCTGTTCATCTTTCCCTCGATCCTGACTAGTCTCCCAGTCCCTGCCGCTGAAAAACATCCCCACAGCATGATGCTACCACCACCATGCTTCACCGTAGGGATGGTGCCAGGTTTCCTCCAGACATGACGCTTGGCATTCAGGCCAAAGAGTTCAATCTTGGTTTCATCAGACCAGAGAATCTTGTTTCTCATGGTCTGAGAATCCTTTAGGTGCCTTTTGGTGCCAAACTCCAAGCGGGCTTTACTGAGGAGTGGCTTCCGTCTGGCCACTCTACCATACAGGCCTGATTGGTGGAATGCTGTGATGTGTGATTTGAAGGAGTAAGGCACAGGAGAGCAATCACAGAATAAAAGGTTTATTCTGAACACAGAAGTACGCAGCAATGCGTCAAACACTTAAATGCGGAAAACAGGCGCCCTGGAAAAACAACGAAGCACACAGGTGAAAATAACCCGGCGATACAAAATAACAAAGAGCTCCACCGAGCTAATCGAACCTCCACAATAAACAATCACACACAAAGACAAGGGGGCAGAGGGAACACTTATACAGGTACTGATGAGGGGATATGAACCAAGTGTGTGTAATAAACAAGAAAAAACAAATGGAATGACGAGATGAGGAGCGGCAGTGGCTAGAAGGCCGGTGACGACGAACGCCGAAGCCTGCCCGAACAAGGAGAGGAGGCAGCCTCGGAGGAAGTCGTGACAGTACCCCATCCTTGAAGCGCAGCTCCAGCAGCGCGCCGACACCGGCCTCGGGGACGACCAGGAGGACGCGGAGCAGGGCGAGCAAGATGGCGACGGTGGAAATCCCGCAACAGGGAGGGATCGAGGATATCCCTCACCGGGACCCAGCACTGCACCCCTCCCACTCCATGAGGTACTGAAGGCCCCCCACCCGACGCCTCGAATCCAGGATGGAAGGGACGGAGTACGCCGGGGCCCCCTCGATGTCCAGAGGGGGCAGAAGGACCTCCCGCACCTCAGACTCTTGGAGCGGACCAACCACCACCGGCCTGAGGAGAGACACATGGAACAAGGGGTTAATGCGGTAATCTGGAGGGAGTAGTAACCTATAAGTACCTTGTTTATTCTCCTCAGGACGTTGAACGGCCCCACAAACCGTGGCTCAGCTTCCGGCAGGGCAGGTGGAGGGGCAGATTCCGGGTCGAGAGCCAGACCCCATCACCCGGTACAAAGACCGGGGCCTCACTGCGGTGGCAGTCAGCGTTGGCCTTCTGGCGACGCACGGCGCGTTGGAGGTGGATGTGAGCAGGAACCTACCCACATCCTGATTCACCCGTTCCACCTGCCCATTAAACTCGGGGTGAAACCCAGAGGTCAGGCTGACTGATACCCCCAGACGTTCCATGAACGCCTTCCAGACCCTGGATGTAAACTGGGGACCCCGGTCAGACACTATGTCCTCTGGCACCCCGTAGTGCCGGAAGACATGTGTAAACAGGGCCTCCGCAGTCTGCAGGGCCGTGGGGAGACCGGGCAGAGGAAGGAGGCGGCAGGCTTTGGAAAAGTGGTCCACAACGACCAGGATGGTGGTGTTATCTTGAGAGAGGAGAAGATCAGTAAGGAAGTCAATACACAAGTGGGACCATGGCCGTTGTGGAACTGGTAAGGGCTGTAACTTACCCACTGGGAGGTGCCTAGGTGCCTTACTCTGGGTGCACACCGAGCAGGAGGAGACATACACCCTCACGTCCTTAGCCAAGGTAGGCCACCAGTACTTTCCGGTCAGGCAGCGCACTGTATGACCGATACCTGGGTGACCAGAGGAGGGGGACGTGTGTGCCCAATAGATCAGACGTTCACGGACAAGAGAAGGCACATACTGCAGCCCACCTGGACACTGAGGTGGAGATGGCTCTGTGCGTAACGCCCGCTCTATGTCCGCGTCCATCGCCCATACTACTGGCGCCACAATGCAGGAGGCCGGGAGTATGGGGGTGTTGTCAATGGGCCTCTCCTCTATGTCGTACAGCCATGACAGTGCGTCTGCCTTCACGTTCTTCGTACCCGGGATGTAAGATAGTGTAAAATCAAACCGGGTGAAGAATAGGGCCCACCTGGCCTGGCGAGGGTTCAGCCTCCTCGCTGCCCGGATGTACTCCAGGTTACGGTGGTCCGTCCAGACGAGGAAAGGGTGTTTCGCCCCCTCGAGCCAGTGCCTCCACACGGTCAGGGGTCGGACAACAGCCAACAGCTCCCGGTCACCAACGTCGTAGTTCTGCTCCGCCGAGCTGAGCTTCTTGGAGAAGAAGGCACAGGGGCGGAGCTTGGGTGGCGTGCCTGAGCATTGAGATAGGACAGCGCCTATCCCTACCTCGGACGCATCCACCTCCACTACGAACGGTAGTGATGGATCGGGATGGGCCAGTACCGGGGCTGAGGTGATCATAACCCTCAGGTTACTGAAGGCCCTGTCAGCCTCAGCAGACCAGCGGAGCCGGGACGGCCCACCCTTCAACAGAGGTGTAATGGGAGCTGCAACCTTGCCAAAGCCCCGGATAAACCTAGTAGTTGGCAAAGCCAATAAAGCGCTGCATCTCCTTAACCGTGGTTGGAGTCGGCCAATTACGCACAGCTGAAATGCGATCTCCCTCCATCTCCACACCTGAGGTGGTAATGCGGTATCCAAGGAAGGAGACGGACTGTTGGAAGAACAGACACTTTTCTGCCTTGGCATAAAGGTAATGTTCCAACAGTCGGGCCAGCACTTTGCGAACCAGGGACACATGCTCGGCTCGCATAGTACGCAGCAATGCGTCAAACACTTCAGTGCGGAAAAAAGTTGTTTGTTAAAGGGGACATCTGGGATTGGTAGGCTACATCAATTGTTTGACTTTTAAATAAAAAAATTGCTATTGATTCTTAAATAATACTTATAAATGCCTCATGAGCTTAGTTCAATTGTCTTACCCCATCAGAACCCAAAATATATGCTTGTTTTACTCAATTATTTGTAAATAATGCAAGCAAACACTGTAGCTTCATAACATGGTTAAAACAATCATTTTAATCATGATCTCATAGATGGTCAGTCTCCTTCTATGAATTTGAGGGTGCCCAGCCCCATCCCACAGCTGTTTACCAAAAAGTGGCGGGGTTGCAACAAATAACTTTATTCCTGAATTGTTGTTATTTAAAACCCAGATTGCCCCTTTAAACAAACGAAATGTGTTAATTGTGTTATTTAGTGTGCCTATAATGTGTATGAGAGGCCTATATATTAAACTACAACCATGTAGCCATATAGTTTAAGAGACAAATATGTGTTATACTTTCATGCATCTTATAATAATGTATTATTTAGTGGAATCTATTATAGATTACTCGTGAGTTTCTATTCAGTAATGGCAAGCACTTGTTATCCACAAGCAAACTATGCTTGGCCCAATGAATAGATTGGCAAATCACGTTGCTGAAAATAATTATTGGCCCTGCAAACTCCAGTTCACCGTCATAATTGAATCACATACTTTGTAGCCATGAATGAGTTGTTCTTCTCATTAATGTTCTTGTTCAGAATATTATCGCCCTACCATCTTCCATAGCCATCCGCCGGGCTGAGGTCAGACGCGTCAAGATGCGCTGGCGCCGTGAGTATATGCTCCTTGATTTCTATTAACGGCTGATGTCTTTTGATAAATATATATAGTAAAATATTATATATAAGTGATATAACCTCTGAAACAGGAACATCTCTTGGCTATAGGCCTACTCAAAGAAATTCCAAATGTGTCCTTGTCCCTGCTGTCGAAAGTTTTGAGAAAAAATAAATAGCCTTACTTTTGCATATTCAAATCATGAAAACAGATACATTAATATACATAATTCATTAATTATGAGTGACTAATCAATGTAATAAATCAGTGTATGAAGATTTAAGGCTAAATGCTATGTAGGCCTATATTTGTCCACTTTAGCTAATTGTGATGAGGGTGATGATGATGATGATGATGATGATGATTATTATTATTATTATTATTATGGTTAGTCCGACTCTAGTCTATATTTATGGAATAGCCAACTTCAGCATGGTCATATGAATGTTATAATGATCTGGGGAAAAAAATTATCGATTAAAACAATTATTATTTTCTATGTAAAACTGGTGATCGTGTGAATTTCACACCCTCAGGGACACTTTTATTAGTTCCCAAGAGTGGTCGCTCTAGGCTTGTTTCACAGTACTTTCATAGGCTAGTGCGTCAGAACATGCTAATGTCCGAATGTATTATGAATTCAAGCCTCTGGTAAAATGAAGTTTTCGTCGGGAATAAAGTTTAAGTAGCCTAATATCAGCTATTGGAAACCAAAACTGAAGTTGCGTCTTGTTGGGAGTGTAATTTATCCTTATGTCAAACAAGACATCAAACTAAGAAGTTTTGCCTCTTTTCTCCCTCTCCAAAATGCCGGTATTTAATATGGCTGGGTGTCGCACAGACTGCGTTGAGAAGCCATTCTCCATTGGATTTCAGAAGTTCGGTCGTTTCGTGGGAAGGCATCCTTGGTGGTTCTTTATCGGCCCCCTGGTCATCTCTACGGCGCTCGGGACTGGGTTTTATTTCCTTGAGGACATGGAGGCCAACAACATTGAGGACCAATTTACACCAGTGAATGGACCCGCAAAACTTGAGAGGAAATTTGTAGAAGAGAACTTTCCGCTGAATAACTCGGTGTATTCAAACCAGAGACTGTACACCATGGGGGAATTTGCATCCTTCATAGCGGTCTCAAGAGCCCCCAACATCTTCACCGATGGAGCCATCAAAGAAATATTAAGTTTAGACAAGAAGGTCCGGGAAATAAAACTTTCGAGAGGTCATGAACAGCTTACATATGAAGGACTTTGCGCCAGAAAAGCCAATAAATGTATTCCCAATAAAATATTAGATATTATGAATCATTATGGTAGCAACATTGACCAGACTGAACTCACCTTTCCATTTTTCCGTTTTGGATTCACAACAAATTTTCTAGGATATTCTGTTGGTGGAGTTAATGTAAACTCAACAGTCATAAAGAGTGCTAAAGCAATACGACTTTTTTATTTTCTGAAAGAAGGTAACCGCTCTACAACAGATCTGTGGCTAAACGAATTCCTCAAGGTTTTCCCCTCCAACCAGTCACTGAATTTCATCACGGTAAGTAGGCCTTGGCCTTATAACAATGTAGCCAAACATGGATTAAATACATATTGTAGAATTTATTTATTTATTGGCGGTAGGGGGGGGTTCAATTATAATTTCTCCATGTCAAATTGACTTTGAGTCTATGGCCAGTAACCTATAGGCTAGGCTAAGCAACTTTAGGTCTACAAAATGCAATCAAATCAATCAGTAGCTGCCTTTACCTTTGTGGTTTACTATGCAGTTTTTATGATGACTCTTTTTGGTCCTCCTATATCTACCTCCTAATTAGTATGTCTTCGTTTTTATAGAAAAAAAATGTCTAACATGAGATTGTGCACCATTTGTAAAATATGCATCCCCATCTCATAGTCTTTCACACGGATTAACACATTGGACAAACTTTACATAAAAAAATATATATATATATTGCTCCTCTGCATTTGTTTTATGGAATCTTTACTCTTGGGTTAAAATTATCCTGCACCAGAATTACTCCACCATATGATGACGAGTACCACAAAAAATCACAGATTAGTCAGCTTGTGGCTAGTATAGAGGGTGCTGACAGTATTCCATGGGCCATGAAGCATGACTAATTGCACACTGAATAGCTGTAGCTGTTATCTTTGTCTTTGAACTGCATGCACATAAGAGGACACTATTGCATGATTGTGGCTCATTCAGAATGGCCAAGTCTTACATAAATCAATAGCCATTGTTCTTCCTTCACTTGGATGAGTCTCTTGGCAGCAGGCCAGAGATGAGAGAAGATGGCAGCGAGATCAGCCAGTTCATTTGTTGGAGAGAGCAAGCCAGTGCAACATCTATTGACCAGTGTATACTGTCATTGAGTGCATTGCTTTTCAGAGGCTTACTGTACTACTGTATACTGTATGTGAATGGAAGAGTTATCCTATGGCACAGGCTGATGTCTTTGGTCAAGTGTGTGTGTGCGTTTTTGGATGGTAACGTTGACAGCATAAATTATGACATGCACTGATTTTGCATTTCATCTTCCCAGGTTACACATTCTACATCACTGTCTAGGCAGGTGGAATTCGAGGCCAACACCAGGGATGTTATCCCCTTGTTTTCCATTACATATGTTATCGCCATAGTCTTTTCTATTGTGTCTTGCTTAAGGTATGTATGTGTTATATACATACAATACACAGCAAAACTATTATGATGTTCATCAATGACTGACCTTTGTGATTCTTTGATTCACATAGACCCAAGGTCTGACCGGTATGTTGTTGTTTTTCAACAGGTTTGATTGTGTGAGGAACAAGGTATGGGTGGCCACATTTGGAGTATTATCTGCAGGGCTTGCTGTGCTGTCTGCCTTCGGGATGATGCTGCATATTGGAGTGCCTTTTGTAATGACTGTGGCTAACTCACCCTTCTTGATATTGGGTAAGGAGCTATGGATACTTTTCATATTGCTTTGATCAAATCCTGGGTCCATGACTCTAAGTCGGTTTGGATAAAAGTGTCTGCTAAATGGAATATATTATTAAACTGAACAAAAATACAAACACACCATGCAACAATTTCAAAGATTTTACAGAGTTACAGTTCATATAAGGAAATCAGTCAATTCAAATAAATAAATTAGGCCCTATTCTACGGATTTCACATGACTGGGAATACAGAATGCATCTGTTGGTCACAGATACCTTAATAAAAAGGTAGTAACGTGGATCAGAAAACCGGTCAGTATCTGGTGTGCCCACCATTTGCCTCATGCAGAGCGACACATCTCCTTTGCATAGAGTTGATCAGGCTGTGATTGTGGCCTGTGGAATGTTGTCCCAGTCCTCTTCAACAGCTGTGCGAAATTGCTGGATATTGGCGGGAACTGGAACACGCTGTCGTACACGTCGATTCAGAGAATCCCAAACCTGCTTAATGGGTGACATGTCTGGTGAGTATGCAGGCCATGCAAACACTGGGACATTTCCAGCTTCCAGGAATTGTGTACAGATCCTTGTGTCCATTATCATGCTGAAACATGAGGTGATGGCGGCGAATGAATGGCACGACAATGAGCCTCAGGATCTCGTCACGTATCTCTGTGCATTCAAATTGCCATCGATAAAATGTAATTGTGTTCATTGTTCTTAGCTTATGCCTGCCCATACCATAACCCCACAGCCACCATGGGGCACTCTGTTCACAACGTTGACATCAGCAAACCGCTCGCCCACACGACACCATACACGCTGTCTGCCATCTGCCCGGTACAGTTGAAACCGGAATTCATCCCGTGACTTCTCCAGTGTGCCAGAGGCCATCGAAGGAGAGCATTTGCCCACTGAAGTCAGTTACGATGCCGAACTGCAGTCAGGTCAAGACCCTGGTGAGGATGACGAGCACGCAGATGAGTTTCCCTGAGACGGTTTCTGACAGTTTGTGCAGAAATCCTTTGGTTGTGCAAACCCATAGTTTCATCAGCTATCTGGGTGACTGGTCTCAGGTGATCCCGCAGGTAAAGAAGCCAGATGTGGAGGTCCTGGGCTGGCGTGGTTACACGTGGTCTGCGATTGTGAGGCCGTTTGGACGTACTGCCAAATTCTCTAAAACAACGTTAGCGGCGGCTTATGTAGAGAAATTAACATAAAATGCTCTGGCAACAGCTCTAGTGGACATTCCTGCAGTCAGCATGCCAATTGCACGCTCCCTCAAAACTTGAGACATCTGTGGCATTGTGTTGTGTGACAAAACTGCACATTTTAGAGTGGCCTTTTATTGTACCCAGCACAAGGTGCACCTGTGTAATGATCATGCTGTTTAATCAGCTTCTTGATATGCCCCACCTGTCAGGTGGATGGATTATCTTGGCAAAGGAGAAACACTCACTAACAGGGATGTAAACAAATTTGTGCACCAAATTTGAGAGAAATAAGCTTTTTGTGCGTATGGAACATTTCTTTGATCATTTATTTCATTTCATGAAACATGGGACCAACACTTTTCATGTTGCGTTTATATTTTTGTTCAGTATATATTCAATTTTTTAAATATGATCTTTCCTCTGCAGGTATTGGTGTTGATGACATGTTCATCCTCATATCCTGCTGGCAGCAGACCAACGTTCACGCTCGGGTGGAAGACCGCTTAGCAGACACTTACAAGGAGGCGGCCATTTCCATCACCATCACCACCCTGACGGATGTGTTAGCGTTCTACATCGGACTCATGACTCCATTCCGCTCTGTGCAGTCCTTCTGCCTGTACACCAGCACGGCCATCCTGTTTTGCTTCCTTTACAGCATCACCTTCTTTGGGGCGTTCCTCGTACTGAATGGGAGGCGTGAGAACAGCAACAAGCACTGGCTGACGTGCAAGGAGGTCCCTGAGGATTGCCCCGTGGGTCGCTCCAAATGGTACAACCTGTGCTGTGTGGGAGGAGCTTATGACCGCCATACTGGAGCAGAGGAAGTACAGCCCATGAATCACTTTTTTAAGAAGCACTACGGCCCTTTTCTGGTAAAGCCCTGGACCAAGGTGTGCGTAATCCTGCTCTATTCAGTTTATTTGACCATCAGCATTTATGGATGCTTCCAGATACAGGAGGGAATTGACCTTCGCAATTTAGCTGCTGATGATTCATATGTGAATAGGTATTATGATGACGAAAAAGCCTACTTTTATGAGTATGGGCCAAATATCATGGTAATCATAAGGGGTGAATTTGCATACTGGGAGGAAAAGAATATGTTGGATCTCGAATCTTGTGTAGAGGACTTCAAAAACCTGGCCTTTGTTGAGAAAGATATCTTTACATCCTGGCTGAAATCATATAAATACTACGGGTACCATACAAATCTGAATTTGAGTGTTGAAAATGTTTTCAAGACTAACCTAGGTTCGTTTCTGAGATTCTACTCTGACTTCAAGCAAGATGTAAATTTCACTAATAATTCCATCCGTGCCTCACGCTTCTTCATCCAGACTGTCAATATCACTACTGCCATTGATGAAATGAATATGTTAAACAATCTGCGAGATACTGCTAGGAGATGCTCTGTCCCTCTACTAGTATATCACCCTGCCTTTATATACCATGATCAGTACGCTGTCATAGTGAGTAACACTGTTCAGAATATCTCAGTCACCACAGCAGTCATGTTATTGATCTCCCTCCTACTGATTCCAAACCCTCTCTGTTGTCTGTGGGTGACATTCTCTATTGCTTCTGTCATTGTGGGCGTCACTGGTTTCATGGCATTGTGGGATGTTAATTTAGACACCATATCAATGATCATTCTTGTTGTCTGCATTGGATTCTCCGTGGACTTCTCTGCACATATTTCCTATGCCTTTGTTTCCAATAAGAAGCCAACTGCAAACGAGAAGGCAGTGGAAGCGCTGTTCCATTTGGGCTATCCCATACTTCAGGGTGCTTTGTCTACCATACTGGGAGTGATAGTGCTGTCTGCTTCCAAGAACTACATCTTCAGAACCTTCTTCAAGATCATGTTCCTTGTCATCCTTTTCGGGCTGTTCCATGGCATCACTTTTATCCCTGTCTTTTTGACATTCTTTGACTTTTGCAGTGGCAACTCAGGCAATGTCAGTACTCAGGAGAAAAAGGCGCTGGAAAATCAAGCCATGACCAACTGCCAGCCCAAAAACATCCAAGAGAAAGCCATTGACCACGACAAGCAAATCTATGACAATCACACATTCCTGCCAGACAATCAACAATTATTCCAAACACAGCCCTGTCCCTCAGTCTGGACACTGACTGTCAACACCCATCACACCCAAAGTGGTCAGATGTGCATGGCAAGCACAGTTCCCATGTTCAGAGTTGATAGTCAAACATATGAAGTTCAGATGTACACAGCTAGTAATGACACTGTCACGGTCAACTGTAACCAAAATCTGGGGTCTGGTGAACATCATTCTGTGATTGGAAATAACCAACCACCAGTTTTACAGGAGTGTAATGCCCCGGTTATCAATTGCTCTGATTCTGCAGATCCTGTTCCTTGAACACCCCACTGTGTGATAAAGTATGTGATGTTGTTTCATGCGGTGTATCTTACATATGAGGTTTATGTAAATCTTAAAGCCCTAATCCCAATGTTTTATAGTTTAAACCTTTTTGATTGGATTTTTGTTGATGCCACTCATACATATAAGATTCAAGTAGCCATCATGTAAAATATATCCATAAAATAGCTTAACTGTTAAAGTTATTGTTCTACAAAACACATTATTTAACTTTGCAGCAATGCATCAGTTTTAATGGGTTACTATACATGTGGCATTGTTGATGGATTTTAAAACCACCATGAGCATGTTCATATTTGTATTTGAAGAATCACAAGCTTTACTGATACATTAGAATAGTGTTCATGATCTGTACAATTTACTATTGTGTACAATTACCAACATATTTGTATAAAATGAAATTGATTTCAATTTCTACATTTCTCTTGATGTCTTTAAAGGATAGAGAGTGTTAGAATTTCTGCAATATCACTTCCTAGAAACATTATTGCAAACCCTCTGTTGGGTTTGCAATTGATAATTCATATTTTCATCAATTAATTATTGATACTGTTAAAACACATACCATACTATGTATTGAAACCTAATAAAACAGTATTTACTAATTTTCACATTTATTCAATTTATGATGTTAAAATAAATGATGTTGTCCTTGCTTACCCTTGGTTTAGGTAGTTGATTTCTACAGGTGATGTTTGTAAACCACAAGGTGGCAATGTGAATACATACAGTGAAGAAAACTTGTGCTGATATCTAATTGTTTGATATTTGTTTTGTTCACCATGTAATTTATTACCTAGGAGTTTATATTTTGACCTCATAATACTCACTGGCTTCTGTAACACCTCTTGTAAACAATATTTGTGGAGTACTGTACTATGCATTTGAAATACAAATCATCTCATTTGCATTCAGACTATTTCCAATAAACCATATCCTTTACGAATATTGATCCCTTTCCCCTGCACTTAATTGTATTACTTTTTCACGTCAAAATGTCTCAAATGACAAAATGTGAGTACTTCCTTTAATGTTCTACTTATTCTGTGGGTTTTGCATACTTGCTAACGCCTCTGTTTGGCTGAATGACAATGGCACAGAACTTTTAATCATTAATGCAGCAAGGTTTCCAGCAAAATTATCTTAATGATCTAAAATGAAAACAAAACAGGAGCAGACTGAAAATATGCCTTTATTCTTGGTAATATAGTATAATATAGTTGACAAAACCTCAGGCTTTGATTATGTCACTGGATAATTCAGTGAGCTTTTCGTATCAATGAAGTAGGGGTATTTTTGCAACTTAGATTTTAAGCCACACTCAACAAAACTCTAAACCTTTTCCATTTCACAAAAGGTTAACATACTGTAGCATCCTTTAAAATAAACTGAACATTTACCAATACAAATTATATTAGACAGCGTTATAAATCCAGAATACTCAGTAAAATATTTAAATGTTGCTAGTACACTTTGCTGTCTTACCCACCCTCTTTCAGAATTGTTACCAATGTAGACAGTGTGGTGCTTGGGTCCAGTAGTTTAACCAGGGGAACATTCACACCTCTCTCTTGGAAGATGTGATTCTGCAGAGTCATAGCCAACATTGAGTCAATACCCAGTGCATACAGGGCAGTGTCGTCATTAACCTCATCTATGCTAACATTGGTGATTTCACTTAGCATAGCCCTGACATTCTCATGTGCTGTGGAAAGGTGTTGGACCATGGGTTCTGTCATGTTAGTGTTCTCAAGTTCTTGCTCGACTAAAGCTGTCAGCCTGCCTCTGAGAGATGCGTTTTGGGAGAGAACATGGTTGCTCAGATTTCTGAAGTTGAATTTGCAAATGACTTGCTGTGGGTTGTTCATCAACAAACACTTTTCAAGGGCCTCATGGACTTCTGACACCTCCATTATCATCATGCCCTTTGCCTCAAGAAACCTTTGGAAATTGTCTTTGTTCAACAATAGACCGAGGTTCAAAGGCCCCCAGTTGATGGACTGTCCAGCAAGCCCAAGGTTTCGGCGATAATGAGAGAATGTGTCCAGGAACGAATTGGCTGCTGCATAGTTAGACTGCGAAGCATTGCCAATGAAAGAAGAGATGGAAGAGTAGCACACAAAGTAATCCAATTTGTTGTGCAATGTTGCAAAGTGAAGATTCAATGCCCCATTCACTTTGGGTCGAAGAACTTTATTAAAGTGTGATCGGTCAAGGGTTTCGATCAAAGCATCATGCAACACAGCTGCACTGTGAAACACTCCTTTGATTGGACAGGAGGGAAACATTTGTACAATTGCTGTGATTGCATTCACAACCTGCCCTGACACTGACACGTCACATTGGACACTCATGATAGACACCCCACATCTCCTCTGGAGATTGTCCACCTCAAACTGCATCTCAGCTGACAGAGGACTTCTGGAGAGGGTTGCAATGCATCCACCACCCCTGTGAGCAATGAACTTCACAGTCTCAAGTCCCAAACCCGAGAGTCCTCCAGTCACAATGTACACACAACTCTTCTTAAAGAGCTTGCTTGGTCTCATTAGCAAAGGGATATCAGACACTGTATTTTCTGAATCCACATGACCCAAAACTACTTGAGACACAGCCTTAGCTCTGAAGTAGGACTCACAGTGCGCAGTGGGCTGAGGTTCTCTTGTGTCTGTCGATTGAAAGGTAATGGTTTGCAGAGATTGCGATACACCATCCAAATGTAATGACCTCAGCCAATGGTGGATCTTTGTTTTCTGTGCCTTTAGATTGGCTCTCTGGAAAACAGTTGACACATAAAGTGTTTGGATATGTGTATGTTCGCTCTCATGTGCAAAAATGTTTGCTGAGGATGACACCTGGTTGTCACAGACTACAACAATATTATTTGCTGTGGCTCCACTGCCTATTCTCACCACTAGAGATGGATCAAAGGGAGGCAATACAACAAATGTATTACACTGATCAATGTTCAGGAGTTGTCCACTAAACTGGGGCAGAACGATGGCATTCCATCCTGATTTGTTTGCCGTTTGGGTTAAGACCTTCAGCAGACCAGAGTCAGGTACAGAGGAGATTATGCCCAACCTTCTCTGTTGTTTGACTCTGGGTAACGCTCTGTACAATATTTCCCATGCCAGCACAAAGTAGGACACACAGGGTGCCTCCTTCAGAAATGGGAGCCTCTTCGGGTTGTAGCATGCTGCTTCAGGAATCACAATCTTAGAAGATGCAGCAATGGGATAACATGAAACTACATGGTCTCCCACTTTCAGTTTGCTCACATCTTTCCCTACAGCTGTGACAGTGCCACTGAAGTCAAGGGCCAAAAGCTGGTGGTTCTGAGATGCATGTTTGTTCCAGTACATTGTCTGGCCAAAGTTCAGATCAGAGACACTGACAGAAAAGTAGTCAGAGGAATGAACACAAATCTCACTGAGCTGAATCTCAACTGATTTCTCCTGGATGTGGTTATCCGTTACATCACAAGGCATGGCAGACAAGCTAGTCATTCTGTATGGGTCAGCAGTCTGAAGGATGAACTGCCCAGAACTCATAGAGTAGACAGTTCCCTCAGAGCTGGCAATCCCTTTTATGGGGGTACGGACTATCACTGTTGAATATATCTGGCCCTTGCTGATCATGACCTCTGGGTGTTTGCTGGTGTTAATCACATGAACCAATGCCTGAATGTCTTCACTTGACACAGAAGCAAGGTCAATCAGCTGAAAGGAGAGGCCTGGTATCTCAGCAGCACAGGCTCTTGTCATGCCAGACAGGACAAAACCAGGACTGATATGGTCCACGGTCGTCTCTGCTGAACGGTAGGTTATGACTCGGATTGTGCAGCAACACTTGTTTTCTTTCAAGGCAAGAACAATCTGACGATAATGCTCACAGCAGTCAACCAAGCATTCCAATGCCATCTCAGTCGACAGATGACTGAGGTCTTGTACACCCCACATGAACAGTATCTCCTGTAAATCTACACCAGCATCACCTTGAAGAGAGTGAGACACTAAGTCTCGAACTTGTGGGTTGGACCCAAACTCTCTGTTCAAGACAAAAAATGATGTTTGGTGTACGTATGGCCTCAATGCTTTGCCAACTCCCAGGATGTCTTCAAAGATCAAGGCTTTGGGTTTACAGTTTACGTGGGTATTGTCAGTGATGGAGAAAAGTTCATTGTGAAAGAAGAATGACTCTGCAACGTGTGAGCAATTTCCTAAAAACGAGATCCTCACATGCTTTAGTTCCACTAAAACATGTCCGTCTTTATTGGAAAAGCAACCACATACATCTATGTAGTCTGAGGTTTCTTGGATTGCTCTCAGATACATAATCATGTCCTCCTGCAGAGGTGCTACTATTGCCACACTGCCAATGGCAGATGGGAAACCTGGCCTGGTGGTCAGTCCTCCAACGGCTACCATAGCAGTCATTTGCAGAAAATAGTCCAACACCACAGGGTGAAGGAAGTACTCATGAAGCTGTTTCAGCACCTCACCTGGGACCTTAATCACTGACACTGCCTCCTTGAATTCATCGCCGAAGTGCACATCATCCAGCTGTCTGAAAATAGGACCATACTCAAAACCTGCACGGGAGAGGATTGAGTAGACCTCTTCCCCCTTTATCACTGATTTGCACCTTTTGAAAATGACATCCGGGCAAATGGTTTGTTCCTCAACCAATGTTTGCCCACTTCGATAACAAATGGTGCCTGATGCATGTGTTGCTGAGGGAGACTGTATCTTAAACATAGTCTCATTCTCTGCTGCCTCCAGTACCACTTTCATATGAGGAGAGTTTGTGCTGAGTGTAAACAAGCTCTGAAAAGTTACACTCAGCTGCATCAAGCAAATAGGCATCTTTGGTCTTGAACTTGCCATTATTGAGGCAAAAGCCAGTTCAACATACAATGCACCTGGAGCAATGGCAACACCATTGTTTTTGTGCTCCCAGAGATAGGGTGCAGTATCTGATGAAAGATTGCATTTGTGCTCTTTGCTCTCATGCTTTGTCTGAGATATCAGTGGGTGTTGAGAGGAAGCTATCTTTTCATTTCCTTGTCTTACAGCCTCAAAATACACCTCTTTTGTCAGATTATCAAACTGATATCTTGGGAGGGGTGTTGGTGATGCCTCACAGCCTTTGTAGAAGTTGTCCCAGTCTACATGGACCCCCCGTTCAAACAGTTTGGACACAGTGGTCAGCATTGTCTCATTATCTTTTTCTGGCTGCACTGAGGACAGAACTATAGTGTCATTTCCCAGAGTCTCCTGGATGTTCCTTTGTAGAGCCCTTCTAGGGCCTATCTCCACAAAGACCACATTCTTCTGGTCTTTGGTTGCTGCTTTCATTGTATGCTCAAATGAAACTGGCTCTCGGATATTCCTAGCCCAATATCTCCCTGTGCTAAAGTCTCCATGGGTGTACATGTCTCCAGTCACTGTTGAGAAAAGCTCACAATCCATTTTGTTCATTGTCAAAGAACCAATACTTTCCTCAATACGGTCCACTATGGGATCCATCATATGGCTGTGGTATGCAGCAGGTACATCCAGTACACGGAGGAACAGATTCTTGCCTCTAAACAAAGCTGTCAGCTTTTGATGGAGTGTGTCTATAGCGTCTGCATCACCTGAGAGGGTGCAGGACTGTGGGCTGTTGAAGGCAGCCAGGCAAACCTTCCCAGAGTAGATTGGAAGGATTTTCAGGACCTCTGACACGGCAATGTTACTGACCACAAGCATTTTCCCTCCTGTTACCTTGCTCTGCAGAGTACTGCGGAAGTAGATCACCTTCACTGCATCCTCAAGGGACAACAGACCAGAGCAGTGGGCAGCAGCAACCTCTCCAACAGAGTGGCCAAGAATGGCATCTGGTTTAATACCCCAGTGCTTGAAGAGACTGGCAATGCCAACCTGAATGGTAAAGAGGAGGGGCTGGACAACATCTGGCTTAGTATAATCATCATTGTCGAAATCGTTTGCTATCTTTTGTGAGATGCCAGTACTTTTGTAATTCTGGAAGAGATTCTCAACCTCTCTGACCTTTTCTCTGAAAACTGGCTCCTCTTTCAGAAGCTGCTTACACATTCCCCTGTAGGTCACTCCATTCCCACAGAACACAAAAACCAACCTGTTATCTGACCTTGATGGCTTAAGCTTTCTGTTCATCGCACACTTCAGTTGATTCTCTAAGTCGGGGACAGAGGACGTCATAAATGCTTTCCTGTACTTGTGTCTCAAATGGCTCCTCCTACATGCTGAGGTAAACATCAAAGTGAGAATGTCAGTTTGCTTATCTCTGCTAAGTCTTTGATGTGTGTCTGTGATAGACATTGCCAATGAGTTCTCTGAGGCTGCAGACAAAACAAACAACTTGGGACAGTCATAAGTAGTCAATCTGGTGTTGTAGCCCTGTATGTACTCCTTTACTATCACATGGGCATTTGTCCCTCCAAACCCAAAGCTATTAATACCAGCTAGCCTTGCCATGGGCTCTGTTTTTTCCCACTTCTCTGCTTTGATCGGAACTCTTACATTGAGAGCTTTGGCATCGATACTGGCACTGTCCTCAGAGTAGAACAGTGAAGGGACAATGGTTTCATGCTTCATCATTAGTAGTACCTTGATTAGCCCTGCCACTCCAGCTGCAGATTCTGTGTGTCCAATGTTGCCTTTCACAGAGCCGATGCGGAGTGTCTCGGAACCTGGAGCTCTGGCTTTGGCAATGACTTTGGAGATGCTGCTTGCTTCTATGGGATCCCCCACTGGAGTTCCAGTCCCATGAGCCTCTATGTACTGAACAGATGACAGGTCAGACTCTGCCGAGTAGATTCTGTGTAGTAGCTCTTCCTGCTGGACCATGGATGGCTTGGTGATTGGAGTGACTGTGTGGCCATCTTGGTTTACAGCAGTTTTTTTTACTATGCCCCATACCTTGTCAAAGTCCCTCAGAGCCTGTTCAAGGATACATTTGGGTACCATTAGCAGTAATATTAATATTTCTTTATATTATAAAATAGAACTTTGTGATTTATGTGGTTCAAAACTAAACTACTTCAAATTGGTTAAATTTAAAACATAGTAAACACTATACTCTTACATTTTTCAGTGGCTTCAGCAGAATAATCCCGCAGCCCTCTCCTCTGCCATAGCCATCTGCTCTACTGGAGAAAGGTTTGCTGGTGCCTTCAGGTGAAATCATCTTTGCCTTGCTGAGAGCAACAAAGACTCGCGGCTCTATGATACAGCTTACACCGCCACAGAGAGCCATTTCGCAGTCCCCTGAGTAAAGCAGATTGAATAACAGTTAAGTGGTAATAATATGATTGAAATATGCCAAAAAATTTGAAGTCTTTCTGATGGTAATTATGAATAGAACTACCTTGCTTGATGGCCTGGCAGGCAGAATGGAGAGCCACCAAGGAGGAGGAACATGCACTGTCTATGGCAAACGAGGGACCAGTGAGATTGAAGATGAAGGATATCCTGTTGGCTGCCATACTCATAGCCGTCCCTGTGCCGTTGTAGTGGGTTATGGTGCTGGGTCTGTTGTTCAGGAGCGTCTCATAGTCCCTGTTCATGAGACCTGTGAGAACACATCCATTGCAGAGTATTATTCACTGTTATATTGTGTCGCTGCAATTAGATGTGCTTGCTGAAGGCAAAGCAAAACTGTAGATTTCTTACATACTTATTATTATTTGATGTCTTCCGCCCGCTCTAGAGCTTAAAAGATTTAAGCTATAAACACAAAACCAACTTCCAAATGCCCAGACTGCCAACTTAGATTGCTTGAGAGAATATTTTTGGTAGCATTTATATTTTTGTACTATAATAATATTTAAATGAGGCCCACAGACTTGAATGGTAAAACAAAACATTCTAGACCTATCTTCTCTTTCACCGTTTAAGCTATCAACTCCAAATTAACGTTGAGATGTTCAGACTGACCCTAATTAGATTGATGTCAAAATATTTGTGATACTATATAGACTTTTTGAACGATAACCATTTACAATGTATATAAATTAACATGTGTTTGAATGAGAACCATAGAAATACTGTACAGAAGTAGCTAATCAAAATGGTCAAGCTCCTTGGCTAATTAAGCTACAAGACCATTAAAACATTAAGGCTATCCTAACTTCAAATCTTTAAAAATGTTTAACAACTATAACTAAATAAATGTGCATTAAATAACTCACCAACAATAACTCTTGAAACGTTCAAGCTAGAGACACTCAAACCAACTTTCACATGTTCAGGCTATCCTGTCTTATCCGATCCAATCAATCAATATTTCAATCTACCAACTTTTTCCAACTATAACCAGTCACTACCATTACTACTGCAGTCTCTACCACAATTTATTTCACAACCATAAGTACTTTAAAACAAGCTAGCAAGCACACCACATTTTCTTCAGGAAATTCACTTTTTTAGTTACCATGTTAAAACATTATGGTTACCTATGTAAACACCTGTTCTGGTCCCACTGACTTTCTCCATTGGCATCCCAGCATCCTCTAATGCCCTGTATGTACACTGGAGTAGGAGCTTGTGCTGAGGGTCCATGAAGTCTGTTTCAGCCTCAGTGATGCCAAAGAACTTGTGATCAAACTCATTAAACCTGGGAGATAAAGAGATTCCCATCACAGATTTCTACTTTACCTCATTGTCAAATATAACAATAAATACATTGAAAGTTCAATTGTTCATGTCTTACCCATCTAGAAGAGCAGCTTTGGTTGTTTGTGTCTTCCCAGGTTTGCTATCATCAGGATCATACCAATAAGTGCTGTCAAACCTCTTGTCTGGAATGTCTACTACACAGTTCCTCCCTTCCAATAGAACCTTCCAGAAATTGTCAAGCCCCTCACCTACAACAAAAGGTCAAAATCCAGCATCACTGGCTTTTGGTATCTTTAGACAAACAAAATGTATCAACTCCTTATCTCATCCATTCTTACCTCCTGGGAAATTGCATCCTATCCCAACTATGGCAATGTCGTCTTCGTTGTCCTCCATCTTTGCATCTCATTACAACCGACCTTCTTTGACAAGATGTAAAATCATGTGACCTTGAACAGTCTTTCATGCGTTTTACCTCCTATTCAAAGACTGTGTTGAATGGAGGATATTGTTTCAAAGTCCCTCAAAGTTTTGTGGAAAGCAAAACCTTTAGCAAACCAGTCTTTACTGGCAGCTGAACCATTCCTGTTGGAGCTCAGTGTTTGTCCTCTTGCCACAACTTTAGTATTCTACCCCTGGTCCTCTTTATAAATCACCTAACGTCTCACTGATCACAGTCAGATGCATCAAGACAAAGGGAGCAGGGGCCCAAACAATAGATTTATTTGTAAGAGAAGCTTTTGAGCAATTTTTAATTAGGGTAGTTTGAAACTGAAGTCACTAATTGCAGGCTTGAGTTGAGATGAGGTTTAGTTGTTCAGGTGCATGCTATGAAGATGACAATGGATGATTATGTTCCCTTTTGTTGCCCAGACTTTTTATTGAAATCTCTTCGTTCAGTGATCATTATTACAAAACCTATACAGACTACCCGGGTAAAATGGATGTGGTGACTAAAACGGTTTATACCTTTCCATCATCGTCTATAGAATATCAGACCAATTGCATCTAATGAGGGGAAGGAGAAGCCAGGCATCTCCCTCAAGAGGAACCAATACTAAGATGACTAGAGACAGACTAGACATCCAAGAGTATGTCCTGTGATTGAGGGTAATTTGGCTAACAGTAAGAGTATAGTCTCAGGTCAGTGTATCCAACATCAGGTCATTAAAGGTCAAAGAATAGCAAGACAATGCACTCACACAGTATATGTGCATGTGCAAGGGTGTGTTTCACTCTGCTGCGGGAACCAAAACACCAGAGAAGTTTCGCTTCACACTGCGTTGTTGCGGAAGTCCAATATTGCAGTTTTGAGCGTTGACCATGAATGCAAACTTTAAGGAAAATGTCTTTAAAAAAAAGGCCCATTGTCAGTAGTGCAGTACTGCAACAATGCTTTGAATTATTCCAGGCCAAAATCTCTCGACCAAAGACCAGAAGTCAATGTCCAGAAGAACAGCATGATTTTAGAATTACTTTTATTGGACTTCCACAAGATCCACACCAAGAGATGAAGTATAGCTTCCATACACACATATATACACAGCTCCCCTCACATTTCCTTTACATATTGGGCTTAGAAGAGGGCAAATCTGGCACACTTTGGGTACATAAATAAATGAAAACATAAAATGCTTGTATTGAACTACATACAGTTAATGCCGTTGAATTACTTCACATTCAGAGAAAAAGTCAACCATAGCAGTTCCACAATTCAGAGGCGTCATAAAGGGGACAGAACACTGTTCCAGCCATTCTGTATTTACATTCTATATGTATATTAAATGACAAAAAAAAAAGTTTTAAAAAGGGGCAATCTGCAGTTCCTACATCCATTTTTGGACTTCTAAATTAATTATGTGTACCCATTCATTCTTGAATAATTTAATTTCTAAATGCCTCATGAGCTTAGTTCAACAGTCATACCCCATCAGAACCCCAAATACAAGCTTGTTTTACTCCAATGTTTGTAAACAAAGTAAATGTAAACAAACACTATAGCCTCAAAACATGGTTAAAACTATAATTTTTATATAATGGATGGTCAGTCCTTGCATCCATAGATATGTCTATGAATTGGAGCGGTTACACTTCAGCCCCATCCCTCAGCTTTTTACTGAAACGGGGGTAGGGAGGACACATTGTTAGTTTCAACTGCTGATTGCCGCTTTAATGATACCACCTACCATAAAATATATGGGTTTTTATACCACTAATATTCTGCTCAGTGAAAAGGCTATAGGTCTAGTAGGATAAGATCTGCAACCAGTGGTATAGTGGAGGGTGAACACAGTTTATGCACCTTCAAAAAAAAAAATATGTGGCCGAGCATTTACCCACCTTTTGCGGAAGAATGTATTGAAAGTATAGGGAGCGTTACTTTACTCACCATGATCAGTTTGCCCACCACTACATCACTGTCTGCGACCAATAGCAACCATTTATTTTCCCTCATAACTTTGATAACATATAAAATGCATGAGGCTTCCAAACTTTTAAAGTGGGCGAACTCACAATCTCAGACTGCAAGTCGGGGGAAAATCATTAGGACAACATCTCTCAAATAAATGGCAACAAAAGGGGGGCATTTTGAGTTTAGGGTATCGATAGGCTTTTGTCTCTGTTGACCAAGCTGCCATATGGGAATGCCTGCCAAACAATGTCTTAGAGGTGTCAAAATCAAGAGGGATAAAATAAAATGTAATTGTTGGCTAAAACACAAATTCAGTGTGTCATTTACATTGAGAAAGAGAGCGAGAGAAAAAGAAATATACTAGAAAGGCCTCCACTCCATTGCACATCTTCATATTTATATAATACAGATAACAACAGGGTTTGTGTCAATTCCATTTTAATTCCAGTCAATTCAGGAAGTACACTGAAATTCTAATTCTCGTTAATGCTTTTCATTGATAAAACATTTGGAATTAGAATTTGGTTTACTTTGTGAATTAACTAGAATTTAAATGGAATTAAACCCAACCCTGATGTCTAACTGTCTCTGACACGGCATTGCCCACAGAGTCATCTAGGGTCCAGGGACTTGCCCTCTAGGACCAGCTTGATCTCTTTGGCGTCCAGCGTTTCGTACGTTAGCAGAGCCTCGGCCAGCGTCTTGTGCTTGTCACTGTATGTCTTCAAGAGGTTTTTGGCTCGCTCATATGAGTCCTGAATAGGATAGAGAATGATCATTGAATGTGATAGAAAATCTGAGCAGCCTATAAAATGTCACTTTTCATAAGAAAGAGTGAATATTGAAAACTATTCTTTAGAAAGTGGAATGATTATTGGTTGGTAAATATGATCAATAACTAAAATAGGATTTAAAATGTGGTCTTACATGTGCAGTGGGGTAAGATTGGGAAGCTTACCTTGAGCAGGACCCTCACTTCCTGTTCGATGGCAGCCTGAGTCTCAGGGCTCTGTTTAGTCAGGTCAGCATAGGTCATGACACCAAGCTGAAACAATTAAGTTTAGTCTTAGGTTAGGGGCAAAAAAAAGAACATCCTTGACTTTCTTGCACTTTCCTTTTCTTACTAGCATGGACTTTGCTGATAGTATCTTTATTGGGGGAAAATGTGCTTACTTTGACATGTGGTTGTCTCACCTAGCTGCCTTAAGATGAATGCACTAACTAAGTCGCTCTGGATAAGAGAGTCTGCTAAATGACAAAAAAGTATAATGTAAAAACAACCACTTATGCAACAGCTGTGGACAGTGGAGGGCGGCATGGGTTGCCAGGTCTGTGGCACAGTAAATACATACCTAATTTCATGGTTGGCAGGGCAGGTTAAGTATATGATTGGAACAAAAGAGTTAAACAGTTGGAGGAGAGTGATATCAATGACCGGAGAAGATGTAGGCGATCAACAAAAACCAAGTCTGTCCCTCTTATGAAATGGATCTCCCTTATGTGCTTCAGAATTACATTTCTACCAAGAATTGGGCTGTTTGAGCTACACAACCTCAGTAGACCTACGGACTGTGGATACGAGGTGAGTAGTAGAGTAAATCTCTCAGTGTTGAGTCGGAACAGGGCTGAGGAAAGGATTAGGATGAAAGTCTGGAATGTGTGGGCACATACACACCAGCCACATCGCTGAGAGAACACTCCAATCATGTGCAAAGCCTGAGAAAGGCATTTCTGCACAAAGGCAAATGCTGCATTCTTGGTTTACAGATATGGGCCTTAGGTGAATAGGCCTTTGGTGATGCGAAATTAAATGCATTATCTAATATGCAGACTACTAGAATAAAGGGCAGTTATGAACAATTTGTGTATTCAATAACTGTCTTCAATCCACCATTTTATGTGCATGAGGTATAATCTCTTACCTTGTCACTCATTCCGAACCTGGTCACCATCATCTTGGCTATTTTAGTTGCCCCGTCGAAGTCACTTGATGCTCCTGGAAAACAGTGGCACCACAATACAAGAGTAAGGATGAGATAGCAAATTTAAAAAATGGCTTGAATCAGATAAATATTGATCATGCAAATGGTATTTTCATAGCAGACTCAGCAATACATTTAAGAACTGCTCTATACTGTAGATCAGTTGGTAGAACATAGCGGTTGCAACGGCAGGATAGTGGGTTCAATTCCCGGGACCCCCCTGTACGTAAAATGTATGCACGCATGACTACAAGTCACTTTGGAACAAAGAGTCTGCTAAATGGCATATATTATATATTAAACCCTAACCAAACTAGGCTTTTCCTCACCGGTTGTGATGTAATCGTCGCCGAAGATGAGTTCCTCGGCCACGCGGCCACCCATGCTGACGTCCATCTGGGCCAGGAGCTGAGCACGCGTCTCACTCCATCGGTCATTCTCTGGGAGCATGGACACCTGAACAGACAGATAACGACAAATTAGATTTAGAGACAGACCATCTTAGGTAAACCATTGCTTAATAGTACTTCTCTGTTCCCCTTGAATTGTTTTAAGGCAGGCCCGGAAGCCCCCTGGAGCTGCAAACAGGGCTGCCAACATTCGAATATTTAACAGAAGCCAACTTCTTTGAGGAAGTCCAGGACAACAGCGCTAAGAGGGGAGCTAAGTCAGTGGTTCCCAAACTGTGCCCCCACTTAAAAAATAATGTTTTTTTTTTTAAAATTTAAGGAAATCAGTCCGGCTTTAAACTTAGTCTTGAAAGTTGTAGAATGCACAAGGTGCAATTTCGAAATTGGATAGGGAATCATCAGTTCCTCATGTCCAGATCAACTAGCCCATGTCAGCTAAGTAATAAAAAAATTTTTATTAAGTTTTTTTAGCCCATAGATAGTTGATTTATTTGTCACTCAAATATCAAATACACAGACATGGCAAAACCTACAGAATTGCAAGAAAATTAGCTTTAAAAGTGCAACATTTTCTTTGCACCCCATGACAAAATGTGTATAACTGCAGGAAATAAAATGTAAACCTGAAAGATTCTCTCCACCAACAAGAGGGGTGTGAAACGTTTGTGCCATGAACAGTGCTTGTGCCCATAGAAATATCCATGGCGTGCGTGCGCGCGGGGTGTTCCTCAATGCCCCAAGTGAAAAAGTTTGGGAACCCCATGGCTAAGTAACAGTAGAGGGACAATGCACCTATTCTGCAAGGTATTTTACTGTATATTGGAGCACATTCTGAGATCCTTGTATTTAAAAATATGGTTTAGCTTTGCAATTGGAAACATGCATGAAATGTATCAAATTAACAATACAAATTGTTCTAATGATCTTACATGTAGTTGTTATTTTGTCAATGGCATTGCTAATCAGAGAAGTTTCATGAAGATATACCACGGCTTCAAACACTTTTGGCTAATCAAAATACAATGCTCAGTACTACTCACATGGCCGAGAGTGGGTCCTCGGGGCATGATGGTGGCCTTGTTGATGGGCATGGCATCTTTGGTGTAATACGCCACAATGGCGTGGCCTGACTCGTGGTAGGCTGTGATTTGCTTGTTCTTCTTATCGATTTCCACACTCTTGCGCTCAGGACCTTCAGTATACAGAGAGAAAAGAATTTAGTCCATCATTAATAGATTAAGAGTCCAATTTTGATTAATTCAAACACTCAACATTATTCACATTACTGCGGTGCAGGTTTACTCCTGCATGTTTAATTGAATTCCAAACAGAAAGATAGGACTGCTCCTAATCCTAACAAAACGCATTACAGTTATCAAACTGTAGGTCCTATAACAGTATGGAACAAACTGAAGCAAAGTCCACCTATTCCTGAGAAAAGATCTGTCCTAGAGAACGAGGGGGATACTGACCAGACGTTCATTGACCTGACATTCTTACTGTCTAGATTAGAATGTCTCTAACATTAAGCGCTCTCACATGGCAGTGTATGTGTGTGTGTTTCTATGTGCATGTGTTACTACCCACCCATGAGGATCTTGTCCTTGGAGAACTCCAGTTCCTTCATGGTGACCAGGTCCAGGCCGTCCACCGCTGCCTTCAGGGCCGCCTGGTTCACCAGGTTCTCCAGCTCCGCCCCAGTGAAGCCCACCGTCCCCCTGGCAATGATCTCTGCGTTCACATCTGAACAAACAATGAGACAAAAAGAGGCTAATATCAGTCAAAAACAGTGGGCTCTTTCATGCAGGAATTCATGGGGGTAGCCGTGACACCAAGTGATCGGAACCGCTCGATGAGGTTGCTAGGTTTAACATGGCTACAATACATTAGTCAGCTGATATACTGTTTAAGTCAGGGGTTTTGAAACCTCTCCTCCGGGACCCCCAGCCACTCCATGTATTTTAACTATTCCACAGCTAGCACACCGGATTCAACTTGTCAACTAATCATCAAGACCTTGACTAGGTGAATCAGGTGAGCTAGTTCAGGGCTACAACAAAACTGTGAAACATCTGGGGGTCCCCGAGGAGAGGTATGGAAAAAACCACTGGTCTAAGCAACCCATTTGAAACATACTAGGATCCACTTTGATCTTCTGCAGGTACCAGTTGAGGATCTCCGTGCGCCCTTTCACGTCAGGCCGAGGGACAGTCACCTGCATGTCAAACCTCCCCGGCCTTACCAGCGCACTAAAAATAAAAAAACACAGGAGAGTAATGGGTTAATGATTCCATTGCTGACATGTTGTATACATTTAGAACAAAGCAACTTCTCCAATCTCAAGTGTGTCAATGACAAATGCATTCTAAAATCAAATGAAAAGCTTCTCTGTATATAGAGCAAGCTTAAGGGCTCTATTCAATCTGTAAAGCTGAAGCGTTACAGATTCCGCTATATAAATGTAAAGGTAATTTTCGATTGAGCCGACATATGCAGCCTTTACCGTGAACGCAGTTACCGCTAAAGCGGGAACATTGCCTTTCAATTTCAATCACACTGTAAAGCTGAACTTCTGCGATGCGGATTGAATAGAGCACTAAGAGCGGATCCATATTTGACCCCTTTCATAATGGATTTGTTCCATTTATACAGCTTTTTGCCAGCCCCATGACGAGCTCTCAAGGAGAGAACTTTGAGGGCGACTTTCCCAGTAAACTCACCAAGGACATCTTTCACATCGAGGAGGATGATGGCCAAAGGCAGCATCTGATCTCTGGGCACATGGGAAGTGTAGTTCCCACTGTACAATTTGCTCCAGTTAAAGCGGCAATCAGCAGTTGCTACATCCATTTTCAGACTCATTAATTATACACTACCAGTCAAAAGTTTGGACACACCTACTCATTCAAGGGTTTTTCTTACTACATATGGAATCATGTAGTAACCAAAAAAAGTGTTAAACAAATCAAAATATATCTTATATTTGAGATTCTTCAAATAGCCACCCTTTGCCTTGATGACAGCTTTGCACACTCTTGGCATTCTCTCAACCAGCTTAATAAGTTAGTCACCTGGAATGCATTTCAATTAACAGGTGTGCCTTGTTAAAAGTTAGCCCCCCTCTTCACTGTTATTCTACAATGTAGAAAATAATAAAATTAAAACCCAGAAGATAGCCCTATTTGGTAAAAGACCAAGTCCATATTATGGCAAGAACTGCTCAAGTAAGCAAAGAGAAATGACAGTCCATCATTACTTTAAGATATGAACGTCAGTCAATAAGGAACATTTCAAAAACGTTGAAAGTTTCTTAAAAAACCATCAAGCGCTATGATGAAACTGGCTCTCATGAGGACCCCCACAGGAATGGAAGACCCAGAGTTATCTCTGCAGCAGAGGAGAAGTTCATTAGAGTTACCAGCCTCAGAAATTGCAGCCCAAATAAATGCGTCACAGAGTTCAAGTCACAGACACATCACAACATCAACTGTTCAGAGGGGACTGTGTGAATCAGGCCTTCGTGGTCGAATTGCTGCAAAGAAACCACTACTAAAGGACACAAATAAGAAGAAGAGACCTGCTTGGCCAAGAAACATGAGCAATGGACATTAGACCGGTGGAAATCTGTCCTTTGGTCTAGAGTCCAAATGTGAGATTTTTGGTTCCAACCGCCATGTCTTTATGAGACGCGGTGTGGGTGAACGGATGATCTCCGCATGTGTAGTTCCCACCGTAAAGCATGGAGGAGGAGGTGTTATGGTATGGGAGTGCTTTGCTGGTGACACGGTCTGTGAATTATTTAGAATGCAAGGCACACTTAACAAGCATGGCTACCACAACATTCTGCAGTGATACACCATCCCATCTGGTTTGGGCTTAGTGGGACTATCATTTGTTTTTCAACAGGACAATGACCCAAATCACACCTCCAGGTTGTGTAAGGGCTATTTTACCAAGAAGGAGAGTGATTGAGTGCTGCATCAGATGACCTGGCCTCCACAATCCACCGACCTCAACCCAATTGAGATGGTTTCGGATGAGTCGGACCGCAGAGTGAAGGAAAAGCAGCCAACAAGTGCTCGGCATATCTGGGAACTCTTTCAAGACTGTTGTAAAAGCATTCCAGGTGAAGCTGGTTGAGAGAATGCCAAGAGTGAGCAAAGCTGTCATCAAGGCAAAGGGTGGCTATTTGAAGAATCTCAAATGTAAATTATATTTTGATTTGTTTGACACTTTTTTGGTTACTACATGATTCCATATGTATTATTTCATAGTTTTGATGTCTTCACTATTATTCTACAATGTAGAAAATAGTAAAAATAAAGAAAAACCCTTGAATGAGTAGATGTGTCCAAACTTTTGACTGGTACTGTACATACCCATTGATTCTTGATGAATATAACTCATGCCTCATGAGTTTAGTTCAACTGTCGTACCCCATCAGAACCCAAAATATAAGCTTGCTGGGGAGAACGCTTTGTTATTGTTTCAACCGCTGATTGCCGCTTTAAAGAGATTCTTCAGGATTTTAGCAATTACATTTACATTTACATTTTAGTCATTTAGCAGACGCTCTTATCCAGAGCGACTTACAGGAGCAATAATAAATGAAGCCCTTTATCTCCAGAGTCTGAAGAACTCGTGGATACCATTTTATGTCTCTGCGTGCACGTCAAAGGAAGTTGCTAACTGGCTTTAGCGCAATGACTGGAAGTCTATGGTAATTGTTTTCATTGCCTCGCAAAACTACCTTTAACTTCCTTCATACTGGATGCAGAGACATAAAAATGGTATCATGAGTTCATCTGAATGGAGAAGTAGATAATGGGCTTTATTGCCAAAATCCCCAAGTATCCCTTTAAGCACCAGCCTTATTCCCATGTGACCCACATTTATTGTGTGATTTTGCGTCTCTGAGCTGCTGAAATCCAGCAGTGTAAAAGCGACCCGTTGAACCTTTAAGAATTGGCAGCCAGCCAGTCAGTTAGATCCTGACAAAGGGACCACGCCGACTGGCTGGTGAAAACCCCATAGAAAGACCAGTTACTACACACTGTAAACATACTTATCCAAAGCCTCCGCAAAGTTTGTAGCGCCAATAACGATGACCCCTTCATTTGGTTTGAACCTGTTAAAGTATCAACACATTGAATAAGGACAATGCAAGCCTTGTGATTAGCAACAGGGAAACTTCAAAGTCCAGCTTAATTTATAACATTCTCCGATGCAACATATATATTCTGAATTCTTCTTACCCATCCATCTCTGCCAGTAGCTGGTTGATGGTCTGTCTGGAGTAGGGGTGCATTGGAGACTCAATCCTCTTTCCCCCCACGCTGTCAAGCTCATCAATAAAGATAACACAAGGTGCGTTGGCTTTTGCCTCTTCTGCGGACCAAACAGAGGGAAAGAGATTTAGGCGGTGTCCTGATAGATTCCTTTCCGCAATTCTTCTCGTTCGTGGACACTGATCAGAAAGGACTTGATAGGTGAAAGTCATGTGGTGGAAGTCATTTCACCAATCAGCTATCATCTTGAGTGACAGGGTGAAGGATGGTCAGTCAGCGTATTGACACAGCCTTAGATCATTTCTGGGACTTACTGAAGAGGTTCCTGATGCGGCTAGCTCCGACACCCACAAACATCTCGTCAAATTCAGATCCCGAGGCATAGAAGAAGGGGACGTCAGCCTCCCCGGCTACAGCACGAGCCAGGAGAGTCTTCCCTGTGCCTGGGGGGCCGATCAGGAGGATGCCTGACAGAACGAGAGAGAACACAAATTAGTGCAACATGGATACATTGAAAGAACGAAGCAATGGGTAAAGGGAAGGACCATACAGATAGATAACCAAATAAGAGGTACGAAAGTAGATTGTGTGAGCTGGCGCTGGAGCCTGTTTCTGTAGCGTGAGGCAGCTTGATGTACAGGTACACCCCCTGGCCAGGACGCTAGTCTATCGCAAAGCCTTTTCCCAAAATATATCTCCTTAATGCTGAGTGCCAAGCAGGTCCCACTTTTACGGTCTTTGTTATGAGCTGCTGTCTTTGGTTCGTTCTTGGCCTCAGCCGGGGTTCGAACTCACAACCTTACAATCTTAGGGTGGACACGAACCACAAGGCCACTGAGTTGGTAGAAGATAACCAAATGTCCACAGTGTATTCTAAACATTAACAGAAAGACAGACCAACATACACTACCTTTAGGCAGCTTTCCTCCCAGCACAGTAAACTTCTGTGGGTTCCTGAGGAACTCGACCACGTCCTGCAGTTCGTTCTTGGCCTCCTCCGCCCCCTTGACGTGCTCAAACGTCACGCTCTTCACCTGGACTGGGTCCACTTGCGAGTCCAGGCCTGACGTGGTGCGGAACCTCACTGTACAGGACAGACCCACAGCAATTCAGTCAGACCACTGACACCACCTGGGAATCTTTATTCATCATGGAAACTATGCTACACTATAATTTGCCACAAACTATTGTTTTTGTTAATACCACTTTCATCTTCCACACAAATGTTTTGAAATAACCATTTACTATTCAATCATTCATTGTTTAATGACCAAAGATCACATTTCTACTAAACACTAAATTATCCAGCTACTTCCGGACAGCTGACTGATAATCGAACATAGATTTTTCAGCATTATCAGGCAAACAGTATCCCTTACAGCCATTGCTCTGTATGATGAAGAAGCACAACACAAAATCACAATAGGGGGATTCATGCAAGCGTAGGAATTGAATTGAAAACAAACCAGCATCAGAAAAGGAGCCTTTACCCGAGAGAAACGGGGTTCTTGACAGGCCGTAGATTCCCACGAGGAGGAGGACCAATAGAATCAGCCTGGTCCTCCTTAGTGAGTCTGTCAATGGAAGATAGAAATATATAAGTTTGATACCTCAAGTGATTTAGTTCAACTCAGCAGTGCCACCTTGTGAACACTTGGTGGAACTGCTAGTGGTGACCATGTGCTTAGTGCTTCACTGTTAGTGCCAGTCACGATTGACGTAAAGCACGAGCAAATCTGCTACAAGCTGAGGTATGGTTAAAAGAAGCAGTCTTCACTTTAAATATTTCTCAATGACTACTAACTCTTCCTTTAAATTTAATTTATATGTATGTCTATATACAGTACCAGTCAAAAGTTTGACACACCTACTCATTCATGTGTTTTTCTTTATTTTTACTAGTGAAGACATCAAAACTATGAAGTAACATGTAGTATGCAAAAAAAGTGTTAAACAAATCAAAATATATTTTATATTTGCGATTCTTCAAATAGCCACCCTTTGCCTTGATGACAGCTTTGCACACTCTTGGCATTCTCTCAACCAGCTTCACCTGGAATGCTTTTCCAACAGTCTTGAAGGAGTTCCCACATATGCCGAGTACTTGTTGGCTGCTTTTCCTTCACTCTGCGGTCCAACTCATCCCAAACCATCTAAATTCTGTTGAGGTCAGGTGATTGTGGAGGCCAGGTCATCTGATGCAGCACTCAATCACTCTCCTTCTTGGTAAAATAGCCCTAACGCAGCCTGGAGGTGTGTTGGGACATTGTCCTGTTGAAAATAAATGCTAGTCCCACTATGCCCAAACCAGATGGGATGGCGTATCGCTGCAGAATGCTGTGGTAGCCATGCTGGTTAAGTGTGCCTTGAATTATAAATAAATCACAGACAGTGTCACCAGCAAAGCACCCCCACACCATAACACCTCCTCCTCCATGCTTTACGGTGGGAAATACACATGCAGAGATAATCCGTTCACACACACCCAAAGGACAAACTTCCACCGGTCTAATGTCCATTGCTCGTGTTTCTTGTCCTAAGCAAGTCTCTTCTTATTGGTGTAATTTAGTAGTGGTTTCTTTGCAGTAATTCGACCATGAAAGCCTGATTCACAGTCTCCTCTGAACAGTTGATGTTGAAATGTGTCCGTTACTTGAACTCTGTGGAGCATTTATTTGGGCTGCAATTTCTAAGGCTGGTAACTCTAATGAACTTAACCCCTGCAGCAGAGGTAACTGAGTCTTCCATTCCTGTGGCGGTTCTCATGAGAGCTAGTTTCATCATAGCACTTGATGGTTTTTGCGACTGCACATGAAGAAACTTTCAAAGTTCTTGAAATGTTCCGTATTGACTGACCATGTCTTAAAGTAATGATGGACTGTTGTTTCTCTTTGCTTTTTTGAGCAGTTCTTGCCATAATATGGACTTGGTCTTTTACCAAATAGGGCTATCTTCTGTATACCACCCCTACCTTGTCACAACACAACTTATTGGCTCAAACGCATTAAGGAAAGAAATTCCACAAATTAACTTTTAAGAAGCCACACCTGTTAATTGAAATGCATTCCAGGTGACAACCTCATGAAGCTGGTTGAGAGAATGCCAAGAGTGAGCAAAGCTGTCATCAAGGCAAAGGATGGCTATTTGAAGAATCTCAAATATTTTGATTTGTTTAACACTTTTTTGGTTACTACATGATTCCATGTGTTATTTCATAGTTTTGATGTCTTCACTATTATTCTACAATGTAGAAAATAGTAAAAATAAATCAAAACCCTTGAATGAGTAGGTGTTCTAAAACTTGACCGGTAGTGTATATACAGCTCTGGAAGAAATTAAGAGACCACTGCAAAATTTTCTTAAATCAGCATCTCTACATGTATGACAGCCATTCCATTCCAGTGTCTGTTGAATTCCAACACAGGCACACCTCATTCTACTGAATTAGGTACTGATTAGGTGATCACCTGAACCAAATCTTATTTAACGAGGAAAAGTATAAAAACCACTGCTGTGGTCATCACTATCCTCTTGCAATAGGACCAGCTGGATGGCAAAAACAGTGCTAATAGTACCTCAAAAGTAATATTAATCAAAAAATAACTCTGGACCATGCCAAAAGAGTTGAAAAGGAAAGTGTTGAGTGAGGAAAAGAAGGGTTCAATTCTGGCTTTACTGGCAGAGGGATACAGTGAGCATCAGGTTGCTTCCGTCCTTAAAATTTCAAAGACGGCAGTTCATAAGAACAAGGTCAAGCAGCAGACATTGGGGACAAGAAAGCTACAGACCGGCAGAGGGCGAAAACGACTCTACTGGCCGGGATGACCGCCTACTCAATCGAATGTCACTCAATAACCGTAGGATGACATCAAGTGACCTACAAAAAGAATGGCAAACGGCAGCTGGGGTGAAGTGCACGGCGAGGACGGTTCGAAAACAGGTTCCTAGGGGCAGGGCTGAAGTCGTGCAAAGCTAGAAAAAAGCCCTTCATCAATGAGAAGCAAAGAAGAGCCAGGCTGAGGTTTGCAAAAGACCATAAGGATTGAACCGTAGAGGACTGGAGTAAGGTCATCTTCTCCAATTTTCAGCTTTGCCAAACACCTGGTCGTCTAATGGTTAGACGGAGACCTGGAGAGGACTACAAGCCACAGTGTCTCACACCCACTGTGAAATTTGGTGGAGGATCGGTGATGATCTGGGGGTGCTTCAGCAAGGCTGGAATCGGGCAGATTTGTCTTTGTGAAGGACACATGAATCAAGCCACGTACAAGGTTGTCCTGGAAGAAAACTTGCTTCCTTTTGCTCTGACATTGTTCCCCAACTCTGAGGAATGGTTTTTCCAGCAGGAAAATGCACCATGCCACACAGCCAAGTCAATCAAGGTGTGGATGGAGGACCACCAGATCAAGACCCTGTCATGGCCAGCCCAATCTCCAGACCTGAACCCCATTGAAAACTTCTGGAATGTGATCAAGAGGAAGATGGATGGTCACAAGACATCAAACAAAGCCGAGCTGCTTGAATTTTTGCGCCAGGAGTGGCATAAAGTCACCCAACATCTGGTGACGAGCCCAGGACTGGTGGAGAGCATGCCAAGACGATTGAAAATCAGGGTTATTCCACCAAATATAGATTTCTGAACTCTTCCTAAGTTAAAACATTACTATTGTGTTGTTTAAAAATGAACATGAACTTATTTTCTTTGCATTATTCGAGGTCTGACAACACTGCATCTTTTTTGTTATTTTGACCAGTTGTCATTTTCTGCAAATAAATGCTCTAAATGACAATATTTTTATTTGGAATTTGGGAGAAATGTTGTCAGTAGTTTATAGAATAATAAAAAAAAGTTAATTTTACCCAAACACATACCTATAAATAGTAAAACCAGAGAAACTGATAATTTTGCAGTGGTCTCTTAATTTTTTCCAGAGCTGTATATTTTCAAAAAAAAATATTGGGGATTGGAAATTATGCAGACAATTACATTGATGGAGGCTACAATATATCTGCAATATTAAAGCTGATCTACCCCCCAACTTTTTTTATAATAACTAAAATATATTAATAAACCTTCCTTTAAAAAGGGTAAATCTGCGATCGCTACATCACATTCTTTACTTTAAATAATCATATGTACCCATTAATTCTTGAAGAATACAACTTATAAATGCCCCATGAGCTTAGTTCAACAGTTTTATTCCATTAGAACCTAAAATATAAGCTTGTTTTATTCCATTGTTTGTAAACAATGTAATTGTAAAAAATCCTCTATAACCTCAAAACATGGTTAAAGCTATAATTTTCATGTCATGGATGGTCAGCCCTTGCATCTATAGCGGTCTATGAATTTGAGAGTAGTTACATTACTCCAGCCGCATCCCTCAGCTGTTTACCAAAAACAGTGGCAGGGTGTCTGCTTTGTTATTGTTTAAACTTCGGATTGCCCCTTAAAGAAACTGCCAAATGTACTTCCTGTTAGTCACTCTAGGAAGGGCATAATGCTGAGTGACTAAGAAGTAATGTTTTTATGTGATGTATGAAGAGAGTTGTGCGACGTGCCTTGTGTCCTCTGAGTGAAGGCCTGGGACTTCATGAATCCCTCAGTGAAGCCAGACTTGAAAGCATCTTGTTGGTCACCTGGCAGGTTCTTCAGCTTTACCACTTGGTCTAGACTCTCTGCCTCTGGGGCCTTGTCTGGTCTCATGAGGAGGCCCTGTGACAGTGTGTGTGTGTGTGTGTGTGGTGAGAGAGTGGGAAAGAGAGCATAATGTATGCATGTCAGCAGGTGAGTATGAGAGAGAGAGAGCGAGAGGGGGGACAAAAGAAAGAGGTTGAATATGAAACAATGGGGTTAATGGTCACAAGACATAAAATTGTCCTTTCCACGTGAGGGAGCCCAGCTCAAAAAAAGTGTGAAAAAATCTCCACTACACCATAAAGAACAAGGACAACTGCCACAGAGATAGTGGGTTTTGCCTATGAAACTCCCTCTAAAACGGTGTTACAATTTTATAACATATCCCAGTACAAGTCAATCTTCACGTTGTAGGGAAACAAACATTTCGTGTGTTCGGTAAAGTTGAAAACAGGTTAATTGAGTGCATTCCAAACTCTCTGTCCAAGAGGGCATTTGGAGAATGGATATGTGACTTATGTAAAGTGTAACACTTGCTGACCTTCATGAAGGTTGGGGTGTAGCCCTCTGGTTCTGCCGGCCCCGTGTAACCAGACTCCACACGTCTGCTCTTCCTCAGAGTCTTGAAGCCTCGGTTCTGGACCCTTACTGAGTGAGAGGGAGACCAAATACAACAATATTAATTTCACTATGTTATGTCACAGGGGGAAAATAAGATCACCTTTGAGAGGGGCGCATCGCCCGGTGCCCCAGGTGGGTGGGCGATGCGCCAGGTGGGTGGGCCCACCCGGGTGGGCCCACCCCACCCAAGGCACCCGGCGATGCAAAACGAACTGGAACACAATGAGAGATAGGTCAGGATCTTGGAATGTGGTTTGCCCCAGAACATCACAGTGTAGGGCCCTGTGTTTTGCGCAATCATGTAACATAGTAAGAGTAAGTCCTACCCAAAAATTTGAATTACACCAAAAATGAAAACAATTGTCTGAGGATAGTGCTAGACCATCTGACATTTTTAAAAAGGGGACAGTTTGATGAAAAAGCTTTAAATTAAGAACGTTTTAATCCAGGCAAAGCACAGGGCCCTACTCATTAGTGTTGTCACGATACCAGAATTTTTACTTCGATGCGGATACCAAAACGATACCGCGGGGGGGGGGAATACATATTAGCCAAAGTCACAGATTGGCACTTAATCCAAACAGAAACTCAACTACAATCATTGAATATCTTTTGAGTTCAATATCATTACAATATAATGATTTTACATCTACATTGAGACAGCCATGTATGCATTAATGAATCAATTCTACAATAATACAATCAATTTGACTGTTTTCACCAAACTACATAACGGTAATCATTAGCTTATTTTATAAAAGTGTGCGCTCTCTTTAACCAGTAATGACATCATTCACGAGGCAAGAGCGGGGCAGCCCGTCGGAGCCCTGTTCGCTGAGGCAATAGACAATCTTTGGGAGTGACGTGAGAGAGACGGCAAATGAATTCAGTTTTGGTAGCAATGCAATCAGCTTTGAAATCAGCATATTTTGCGTTATGGTTTGCAGATTATCACTAACAAAGTACCAGGATAGTGAATTGATGTTTGCTTTAGCTGTAAACTAGCAAGGAAAGTTAGCCTCCAAAGCTGGAAGCTACCTGTATCTTCCTGAATTGTAAAGTGTTTTAGCCTGTATGGACATTGTTTTGAGAACAGTAATTAACAGTTTTAACACTCCTACATGCCATCTCTCATTATTTAAGTGTTAACATGATGCAGCCCAGACTCCCAGTGCAGACTAAGTGGAGCAGGCACTAGAGAACGACCTATAATCAGCTAAGCCGATATGTCGGGACCAGGGGCGGTGTGTTCATTAGGGCGATATGGGCGACGCACTGCCAAACGGGAAAAGGAAGGGATTTTTTTTCTAATCAATTATATCACAGCAACAGTAGTTTTCAGTGTTCTAATCTAGACGTCTGATCTGCCACTAAATGTCCAATCAGGCTAAAGTTGTGCTTCAAATGGCCCCGCCCCTTTTGGGGCGATTTCAGTCAGGTTGAAAATCGCCCAGGAGTCTCTCATAGACTATCATGTAAAATATTTTTTTTTTCAAATATCAGAGCTTTCAATACAATCTCTATGGGTTCCAGGAGTGCTTGCACTTACGCGCTTTCGTCATACGTAACATAAGTAACCATGAACATAACTAAGAAAAGAGCGGGTAGCAGCGTCAATCAATTCACGTACAACTGTCAAGATGGCTAGCTTTGCGAGGCAAAGATGAAACTGAGGGCTCCACCAACCCTGGTATTTTTCTTGGACTTGTCAACTTTGTGGCACAATTAGATGAGGTGTTTGATGACCATCTTAAAAATGCTAAAGTTTTCAAGGGCACATCAAAGACCATTCAAAACGAGCTACTGGAGTGTATGCTAGCGGTCATGAGGGAACATATTGTGGAGGAGGTGAAGTCGGCGAACTTCGTAGCTATCCAAGCTGACGAGACCACGGACGTTTCTACACAGACACAGCTGGTGCTTGTGCTGAGGTACATAGATAGCAACCACAAAGTGCAGGAGCGCTTTTTTGAGTTCCTTCCCATCTCGGAATCAACCTCAGTCTCAATCGCCAGTGTGCTTTTGGAGAGACTGAACGGTCTTTTTGCCGACGACAAGAAAGTCAAACTCATTGCGCAAGCTTACGATGGAGCCAGTGTGAGGTGAGAGAAGGCTGGTGTGCAGCAAAAGGTGCGTGAGCATTTCAAGAATGCCCATTACGTGCATTGCTATGCGCATCAGCTGAATTTGATCATGCAGCAAGCTAGAACAGTTTCAGTACAAGTAATGTAGCCTCTCTCTCTCTTTGTCCCTCCCTGTCTGTCTCTTTAACACACACACGCCCAAATCAGTTCACAGTTGATGTTGTTTAAAATAGTTATTTTTCATTTTTTTTAAAGTTAAAAAAAAAAAAAAAAATCTGTTCATGTTCATTTTTACAAATCTATACAATTGGCCAGAATATGGTTGTTCATATTTACAAATCTATACAATTGGCCAGAATATGGTTGTTCATTTTTACAAAGCCATACAGATAGCTGTGTTTACCTTTTCTATAAATTATTTTCGAATTCTGTTTTCAGGCAAAATGTCTATCACTGTTCATTTTCACAAATCTATACAAGAGGGCAGAATACGGAAGTCTATAAAAATGTATTTTACCAATAACTTGCATCAATGTTTTCAGTAGCCTCTATCAAAAGCTCCTGCTTGCTTGTTGTGAATTATGCTCAGGTGCACATATTTCCAATTCAACCATGAGGCCTTTTTGAAGCAAGTAATGTGTATATCAGTATTGACTTATATGCTGCCCCTGTCTTCATGTTGTTGCTGGACATATCTTTTTTTTAATGTGTGTAGGTCACCTAAATCATCAGAAAAATTGCCCCCCCTGAGAATTTTTTCAGGAGCCGCCACTGGTCGGGACGATATTGGCCTTTTCTAGTCTATCGGCCCTTCTCCATCGGCTTTGCCGAAAGTCCCTCCACATAGGAGAACTGCTGCCACCAGCCGCCACTCACCACCTGAGCCACGAGCACTGCATAATGCGGAGGAATGTCTAGCTGAGAAAATCAGCAGCAAGCTAGCTCATTCTCCAACAGAAAGGTGCAGTATTGAGAAATGGATGAATTGACACTGTGACCAAATTCTTACTCCTGTTGCAAATATTAATTCACTAATAAGGCTTGTGTCAACATGCATGCAATAAGCTAGCTAGCTAAGCAGATAGCTATGTGACCTGTTAGCAAAGATTACGGTAACTAACCCTTTCATCTGTGGTGTTCGCTAGCCAGCTATATTAGCTACTATGCTAGCTAGCTGGCTAGATGAACATGGTGCTAAGACATCAGATGGCAACGAGCTTCTATGGAAATGTTGATCAGTAGGCTAATATATGTCCCAAATGGAAGGCAAACAGATTGTCATCTGTGGCACCATAGACTCCACTGACCAGCCAAAACAAGATTATTAACTTAATGCATGCAGACACTCCTATAGAATATGCATTCACCTTTATTGTGAAAAGGCCTATGCCATCTTAATTTACACAGTTTATCAAGAGATTTACCATTCAAATAAAAGTACCATTGTTATGTATACTGAACAAAAATATAAAACGCAACATGTAAAGTGTTGGTCCCATGTTTCATGAGCTGAAATAAAATATCCCAGAAATGTTCCATACGCACAAAAAGCTTATTTCTCTAAAATACTGTGCGCACATTTCTTTACATCCCTGTTAGTGAGCATTTCTCCTTTGCCAAAATAATCCATCCATCTGACAGGTGTGGCATATCAAGAAGCTGATTAAACAGCATGATCATTACACAGGTGCACCTTGTGCTGGGGACAATAAAAGGCCACTCTAAAATGTGCAGTTTTGTCACACAACACAATGCCACAGATGTCTCAAGTTGAGGGAGAGTGCAATTGGCATGCTGACTTCAGGAATGTCCAAGCGCTATTGCCAGTGAATTTAATGTTCATTTCTCTACCATAAGCTGCCTCCAATGTCATTTTAGAGAATTTGGCAGTACGTTCAACCAGCCTCAGGACCCTGCCCAGTCATGTGAAATCCATAGATTAGGGCCTAATGAATGAATTTATTTCAATTGCCTGATTTCCTTCTATGAACTGTAACTCAGTAAAACCTTTGAAATTTGTGCATGTTGCATTTATATTTGTGTTCAGTATTGTGAGATTGTTTTTACCAAAGTAAAATGTATTGTTTGATTTTAAAATTGAGGCATACAAGGCTGTCTCTGGGAAATTTTGTCATCAACATTTTCAAATGTCATGATATTGAATATCGGCCATCTTGACCCCCCCAATGTTCTAGTATCAAAAAATTACCAAAGTTTCAGTATACCGTGCAACACTACTACTCATAAGATACACTATGACAATGGCCTATATGACAGGACAACTTTTAAGCTTTGCATACCTCCCTGGTTAGAACTACCATTTATGACAGGCAATTCAGCATGGTAAAATAATCAACTATCTTCACATGAGGGTTGCTGGGTACATTCCAAAGATGAGGACCACAGGTATGGTTCCTTACCAGGCCAGTATTGGAGCTCTGAACAGACGACTTGTAGAGGACTCTGGTTTGGTCTGTGGAACATTGGCGAGCCAAAAACACCCAACTTTCTGCTTGAGAAACCTATGGAAATGAATACAAAGGTCAACATAAGACTACCACAAATACACGAGTGCTAACGACTGTGCTTGTTATAATTTTACAGCAAATATATACAGAGTATACCAAACATTAGGAACAGCATCCTAATATTGAGTTGCACCGCACCCTTTGCCCTCAGAACAGCCGTAGAGGCATGGACTCTAAAAGGTGTTGTAAGCGTTCCACAGGGATGCTGGCCCATGTTGACTCCAATGCTTCCCACAGTTGTGTCAAGTTGGCTGAATGTCCTTTGGGTGGTGGACCATTCTTGATACACTGGGAAACTGTTGAGTGTGAAAAACCCAGCAGCTTTGCAGTTCTTCACCAAAACCTGTGTGCCTGGCACCTACTACCATGCCCCGTTCAAAGGCACTTAAATATTTTGTCTTGCCCATTCACCCTCTGAATTGCACACACACACAATCCATGACTCAATTGTCTCAGGGCTTAAAAATCCTTCTTTAAATATGTCTCCTCCCCTTGATCTACAGTGATTGAAGTGGACTTTGCAAGTGACATTAATAAGGGATCATAGCTTTCACCTGGATTCACCTGGTCAGTCTGTCACAGAAAGAGCAAGTGTTCTTAATGTTTTGTATACTCAGTGTACACCCAACAACATAAACCTCACCATGTTTGTTGAGGAAGAAAGATTCTGTGGAGACATGGGACGTCCTCCATCTTGAGGCGGCTGGGCCGTCCTCCGAGCCCAGTGAGGGCAGTAACCTGTTCAGCAGCTCATCCAACTGACCCACCCTCAGGTCTGACAAACCCAGGTCCCTCAGGTTCACAGTGGGCTGTGGGGACAGGAAGTCAGTGTGAAGGACAACTGTAATAATGAGCTAGCGTTAGCTAGCCGGGACCCAGATCTGGCTGATCAAGGCTAAGTTGAACCCTATGAACTGAAATGGGGCTCCTTGACCAATGTCCTAAGAGGCTGAAATAGCACATATGTTGGCACTCATCCAAGTGAAAACACGAGATAGGTCCCCAGCATTGAGTATTATGTTATGTATTAGCCCTTGATCATGACTCAGTTTCATTACATTACACATAAGAGCCATTGGACAAAGGCGTCTTCTGTACAGGGGAGTTTTGTTAAGAGGCCCAATGTTCAATCTCAACATTAACACGGGTCGCTTCCGGTACGGTTTTGTAAGCATATATCAGCGAGAAATAATTTTCAAAAAACAAAAGGTAAATTGATACATACCTTGATAGGGTTAGTGTTCCCACACTTCCATGTTACAGCGCTTGTTTATGGAAAACAGACAGAAGACAAGAGGCGACTACCTGTGCTAATTTGCTATCTAGCATGCTCCAAACACCAGTGTGTGAGTGTAACTCGGGAAGTGTAGCAGAAATTTAGTTTTGTTGGATGGAGGCATCCATAGCTGTATGGATCTGTGCAAAACTACTACAGTAAGTGTATCTTTTTTATTTGAAGGATTCTTTCTCGCTGATGAAAGATAAGGGCCATATGCTTTAAAAGCCATATTGCAAGCGATGATTACTGACGTTTCTAAACGTTAAAACAAAGCATCGGGATTGTAGTTCACGTGAGCCAGTCGTGGGCGAAGCTAATGGCTGAAAACTGTAAGGCAGAATGCCGCCTAGAGTTTGAGAGTTAGTTATGTATATGTTGTTCCATGCTATTAATATACAAGGTTGTGGTCTAGCAGTGACGTGTGAGTGTCGCCACCTATGCAAGCCAGGCTTTGAAATGATGTGCTGCTGCATTTGTAAGGGAAATGTAATTTCCTCAGGCCGAGTTACAACAGATAACTTTCATTATCCTGTACGAGGCCAAACATCTGCAAATATGTTTGACTCCAGTGGCCATGATGATCTCTAGCCATTTGATGAACAATAATAACACATTGGAGCTGTGAGTGACAAATATCTGCAATGTTGTTGTAACTTATCCTCAGTGTTCATGTCACATGATATTGATATGTTTAGTGAATGTCTGACACATTACTTATTTGTAACCACAACATAGACGCGTTCGCTTGGGGAGCTATGCCTCGCCCGTAAGAGCTGGTGGCACTACACACACCAGGGGCATATTCATTATGCCGATTCTGTTGCAAAACGTTTCTTAAACGGTAGCAAAAGGAACAAAACGGAGAGGGACCTACCCGAATTTGTCCCATAGAAACTCTTTTAAGACTAATGATTACACCCCAGGAGTAAAAAAACTACAACATTTGATGTATGTTACACGTCAGTCAGTCCAAAGTTGAACGGGGGCTCCTGAGGATAGTGGATGGGGTCGGACTAGTTGTGTAGTTAAGCACGAAGGTTGACACAGCTTGTGTAAATTGAGAGGCTTCTCTTGTCAGAGGGAGAACTGCAACAGTGTTTCACCAGAAATAGGCAGAGGCTATAACAAGAGGAATCCCATATACCTGGTTACCACCTACGATTGCCATGAAGTAGGCTTATCTTATGGGAGAGACTAAGGGGACTTTTCTAACCAGCATACCATTGATAGCCTGACTAGCCAAAATATATAACTGACCCTTACCTTAAGCCTAACCAAACCCCTAACCTTAACCTAATTTGAAAATAAAATATTGGTTTGGCCGTCAGCCACATCCGCTTAGTTTTTCCCTTATCTTACATCTGTGCGCAGGGGGTCCTGCTCTGGTGTGACATCTTTGTGCAGACCCTGGACAGAAGCTGTGGCCGTGGAGCTGGCTGAATTCTTCAGGGAATGGAGGGCATTGATGAGTTGGCCAATGAGTTGACTTGTTACCTAGGAGACAGAGGCCCGAGAGATGGAGACATTGGAAATGCATGAGACATACATGACTTGTGTTGGCATATTGTTCTGATAAACAACAGTACTGGTGTGGAGAGCTGCCAAGTTGTAGGCTATGCATATATGTACTACTAGTCAGTAGCTTCCCTATAACGTTAACCGACTGACCTGTTTTGACATCTGGGGATATTAATTTATCCTATGTTAAAAGTTTTAAGCAACCATTCTCATACCATTGACAGAGGGGACGGTTATGACATCAGTATTGTCATTCACAGGCAGGTGTAAATCAAGCTTTTACCGCAATAGCTGGATTATGCGATTCACTGATATACTATGGCATAACCAATTAACGTTAGTCAGCTAGTTGGCTAACTAAAAACGTATATTACAAGCTAACGTTAGTTAACAAAATACTGTAGCTTAAAATTAACTGTATTTACAATTGTCAAAATGCACGCTAGCTAGCAAATTTAACGTCGTCGTTAGTAGGCTCACTACGCTAGTTGGTAACTACAGTAGTTAGTTAACTGGCTAGTTAGCTAGCTACGAAGAGACAACTAGCACATGCTGAAGTCCTGAAGTTGGTGGCTAACTAGCTAACCGTCTGGTGCGGTGGACCAGCCGGTGACAGCTAGCTAATGCTAACTTGTACCTCATTTTTAGCATTATAGCCTGGTCCACCAGGCTAGCTAACTAAATAAGCTTGATAAGATAACTAGAAACTTAGACTTAGGGCTAGCTAACTTAAATACATTACTTAAACAGCTAAAGTTAACTGCATGTGTTGTCGCTTATATCTAGCTAATTTAGCTAGCTGCTAGCACTTTCTAGCAGCTAGCTAACGTAACTAGGTTATATCAGTCAGCTAACGTTAACAACAGTAGTAGCTAGCTATGTTAGCTACTCACTGTGAGTGCCAACCGCTTTACCTGTGGCTGGAACGTCGTCGAGAAGGAAAACATTATCACAGCAACTTGAGGGTTGGTATGTGAAGACAGACCCTCAATGTTACTGAATATACCAACTCCTCCTGGGCACTGTCCTTTTGTTTTTCTCTTGTTACTCAACTGGGTACTTTCTGATGAAAATGGCTTCTCAAAGGTCAACAACGTGACGTGACGCATATCTGGAAGAAATTACTACCGGTTGGAACCAATGATGTATATAACCCTTGGACAACAGATGTCACAAGTCGGCCATATTGGCACTCCCCAGTAGGAGCAGTCCGCCATTGGAATGAATGGAATTCTACAGTATTTAAATTAAATGTTTCAAGGACAAAATTACATGTATTTAAGTATTTTTTTGTTGTAGTGGGGACATTAACATTAGTAATAAATAAAAAAGTATAGCTTAAGGAAAATGTTTTTATATATTTTAACATTTTTATGCTTAGCTCGCATAATATAATTTAAAAGTATGTATTAAGATGTCTGTAATAGAATAACGTGGCAGACATTAATACATGCATTTCTATACCTTCCAAAATAATGTTTACAACAGTGGGGGAGTGCCAAGATGGAGGCAGGGTGGCTTCAACACAACGCCCCCTATAAGTAATCTAATGTATATTTAAATCATTGGTTGGAACGTGATTATGTCATGCTTATGCTGCGTTCAAAACAACTGGGAACTTGGAAAAATACGAGGTCAAATCATGACATCAGTGAACTTCACGTGGGAAAGTCGGAATTCTAGAAAGAGGCCCGAGTTCCCGAGTTGGAAATCAGAGTTGAATGACAGTTCAAATCGATTTTTCCCAGTCAGAACTCGTTTTTTTCGGGTTGCCAGTTGTTTTGAACGCACTAAAGTCGGAAGTCAGAGATTTTCTCTTCGCCAGGCGTTGGGAGGGGGGGACACAATGTTAGAGTGTAAAATGGTCAACCCCTCAATAAAAATAAATTTGAAAAAGAAAGTAGAATACACAAGGTGCAATTTCAACAGCAGTTTTTCTCTTGTTATGCCAGTCACTAACCACGTTTCCATCCAATCATTTCATGCTGATGAATTACCTGATGCATGAGAAAAGTCACGACCGGGCTGATGGAAACATGAAATGCCAGTACAATTTTATAAATGCAGACAGACAATTTGTTTGTTCGACATGGTGGGATATTTTGGTGGTCTGAAAATCAATTATGCGAGAAATGGCAGTGGAAAAGCCTTTATGCCCAAATATTGATATAATAACCATCATATCGAAGTCAACTTATGTTGTGTGGTCCTCCCACTACAACTCGGGAAAGCATGCAGTTTATTAGGCTACAGCTAAAATAAGTTATGATGAACAGGGTGGTGAATGTACCAGGTGATGAGCTTGATGCTCCTTTCCAATAAATATTGAGGTTCATATTCTGGTGACATGATGATCATTGCTTGGCTGCTGTTTGACAACTACAAATAATATCGCTCTTATGCATAATAATCTCATAATGTAGATAGCCTACCCACACTGTAGCTGCAAACTGTTGGCCATAGCACATGCACCCCCACCCCCAAACTACTTCCTGTGGCTATTGTGCCAAGACCAGAGTGGGCACATTTGCTATATAACTCAACAGTTTTTGTGACAAAACCATCAGTAGAGTTGAAAATGTGATGGAAACTCATTTAACTTGTATTTTTCATTCGGTACATGGGAATTTAATATAACAAGTTATTTTTATGTGCGTTACGTCATCACGCACAGCCTTTTATCTGCAAAAAGTATGTTCCATGGAAACACATCTCTGGTGGGAAAATGCACATATTGTTTTATGCAGATTTTAGAATATTCGCATAAAAATCTGTCGCAAATTGGATGGAAACTTAGCTACTGACACTCACTCAATTAGCCCATGTCAGCAAAAATGTTTTAGATTGGTAAATTAGTCTAGCCAGCTATCGAAACTTGTAGTAATCATGATCGAATTACCGACCGGGGGGCCCCCATTGATTTTGTTAGTCACTCTCAAAATTGCAGACATTTCTCTCCAGTCTCCACCCTATGGCAAAATGTGTAGAATTGTGCAGGTTAGCGTTTTTTGTCATGAATCTTGTTCTGGAGGCAGCTCTGCAGAGTGGTCACTAGCAGGAACAGCCACAAAGTCATCAAATCCCTAACCCTAACCTTAACTGCTTAGGTCTGCCTCCAGGACAATACTTATCCCAGTAAACGTCAACCTGCTATACTTGCAAGACATTTGTTGTAAAACTGCAATTTTTTATCTCTGCCCCGTGTCAGAATGAATAGAATTGCATGAAAAGTGTTATAATATTGCAAAATCTTCTCTCCTCCCCATGGCAAAATGGAAATGAACTCTAAATCTGTCATTTCTTCTCTCCGTAAATGTTTTTGCTCACTTGCTTAAGGCCCCCAAAAGGCTACGGCCAGCTGTGACAGCATGTGTGAGTATGGATGTGGGTATTGCAGACCCGAGAGCCGCTGCGGCCACTCATGATGAGTTCATATTTTTTGTGGCCCCCACCAACCCTTATCAAAGTTGCCCATCCCTTGTCTAGAGGGTGTATTGCATGTGTTAACTTAATGCATGAGAAAGACAGCCATGATGATACCCAGGACAGACATACAGACAGACAGACAGACAGACAGACAGACAGACAGACAGACAGACAGACAGACAGACAGACAGACAGACAGACAGACAGACAGACAGACAGACAGACAGACAGACAGACAGACAGACAGACATACAGACAGACAGACAGACAGACAGACAGGCAGACAGACAGACAGGCAGAGAGAGAGGCCACAAACAAACAGGTAAGATAGTGAGAAGTGCCTCTCCAAGCTCATTGAGTTGATGATCTGTCATAGTGTGAATCAATTGGAATTATCATATACAGTGGGGAGAACAAGTATTTGACACACTGCCGATTTTGCAGGTTTTCCTACTTACAAAGCATGTAGAGGTCTGTAATTTTTATCATAGGTACACTTCAACTGTGAGAGACGGAATCTAAAACAAAAATCCAGAAAATCACATTGTATGATTTTTAAGTAATTAATTTGCATTTTAGTATTTGATACATCAGAAAAGCAGAACTTAATATTTGGTACAGAAACCTTTGTTTGCAATTACAGAGATCATACGTTTCCTGTAGGTCTTGACCAGGTTTGCACACACTGCAGCAGGGATTTTGGCCCACTCCTCCATACAGACCTTCTCCAGATCCTTCAGGTTTCGGGGCTGTCGCTGGGCAATACAGACTTTCAGCTCCCTCCAAAGATTTTCTATTGGGTTCAGGTCTGGAGACTGGCTAGGCCACTCGAGGACCTTGAGATGCCACTCCTTAGTTGCCCTGTCTGTGTGTTTCGGGTCGTTGTCATGCTGGAAGACCCAGCCACGACCCATCTTCAATGCTCTTACTGAGGGAAGGAGGTTGTTGGCCAAGATCTCGCGATACATGGCCCTCCCCTCAATACGGTGCAGTCGTCCTGTCCCCTTTGCAGAAAAGCATCCCTAAAGAATGATGTTTCCACCTCCATGCTTCACGGTTGGGATAGTGTTCTTGGGGTTGTACTCATCCTTCTTCTTCCTCCAAACACGGCGAGTGGAGTTTAGACCAAAAAGCTCTATTTCTGTCTCATCAGACCATATGACCTTCTCCCATTCCTCCTCTGGATCATCCAGATGGTCATTGGCAAACTTCAGACGGGCCTGGACATGCGCTGGCTTGAGCAAGGGGACCTTGCGTGCGCTGCAGGATTTTAATCCATGACGGCGAAGTGTGTTACTAATGGTTTTCTTTGAGACTGTGGTCCCAGCTCTCTTCAGGTCATTGACCAGGTCCTGCCGTGTAGTTCTGAGCTGATCCCTCACCTTCCTCATGATCATTGATGCCCCACGAGGTGAGATCTTGCATGGAGCCACAGACCGAGGGTGATTGACCGTCATCTTGAACTTCTTCCATTTTCTAATAATTGCGCCAACAGTTGTTGCCTTCTCACCAAGCTGCTTGCCTATGGTCCTGTAGCCCATCCCAGCCTTGTGCAGGTCTACAATTTTATCCCTGATGTCCTTACACAGCTCTCTGGCCTTGGCCATTGTGGAGAGGTTGGAGTCTGTTTGATTGAGTGTGTGGACAGATGTCTTTTATACAGGTAACGAGTTCAAACAGGTGCAGTTAATACAGGTAATGAGTGGAGAACAGGAGGGCTTCTTAAAGAAAAACTAACAGGTCTGTGAGAGCCGGAATTCTTACTGGTTGGTAGGTGATCAAATACTTATGTCATGCAATAAAATGCAAATGAATTACTTAAAAATAATACAATGTGATTCTCTGGATTTTTGTTTTAGATTCCGTCTCTCACAGTTGAAGTGTACCTATGATAAAAATTACAGACCTCTACATGCTTTGAAGTAGGAAAACCTGCAAAATCGGCAGTGTATCAAATACTTGTTCTCCCCACTGTATGAGCTCTGATGAAATGATAGCAGCTTAAGTCTAGAGGGTGTATTGCATGTGTTAACTTCATGTAGGAGAGAGGCAGCAATGATGATATTTTATTTTTGATAATTTTGTAGAGTGGAGATTGATTTTATTTTTAAATTAAAATAGCTTTTAACTGTGTATGTTGCTGGTTATTATTACAGTATAATAACTGTATTATAAGTTGAAAAAAATATGTAGTTTCAAACCATACATTATGTAGAGCAGTAGAAGTAACAACCTGACATAGGGGAAGTGAGAAAAATGCTAGGAAATTAACCATACAGTAGCAGAGAAAGAGTACAAAATGGTTGTTTAATTGAAAATATCCCCATTAACAGTCACACTGGTATTCAGTATAGTATGAATGGTCATGACTCTAAGACTGATTGGACTGTACCAGAGTAGGTGCCCCTCTGCAAGGCCCCCCATTTGTCTGTATACTTTTCTCAAAAGTCATTAGACATTTCTGGATAAGAGCGTCTGCTAAATGACTAAAATGTAAATGTGAATGTAAATTAGCATTTTTAAAAAAAATGGAAGCAAAATGTGCATAAAGATGGAGGAATTCAGATATGACATCATTGTTTGAGCACTATCCACATACTTTTTAAACTATGGTTCAATGTGCCTATAAATCAGAACAATCTACTTTTTCATTTTTTCTAATTCCCGCTGTCTTGGAGCAAGAATTGGGATAATGTATACTTTGCTAATACCAATACAAAAAATAGTAATGGAAAGCACTGTACAAAGCACTGTACAATACAGAGAACTTATTAAATAAGGCGTTTGTGGTAAATACATGGGGGCCGCCATCTTTTTGCACCTTCGGCAATGTTCGCATCGTTGTTGGCAACATTTGTAACCACCAGCATACAAAATATGTATGACGTAACATATAATTTTGATGCCTGGATAGGTGTCCTACCTGTTGCCTGATGCCATTCTTTAGAAGAGTAGCTCTAGCAAAATAATGATGGCCCAAAAAGTCAAGTATATTTATTGATTAAATCATAAATGTATTTTTTTGTCAAATCTGCCTTTGAAGTTATCTGCATTTCAAGTGTTTATATTCGTGACTGTACCAACGTTTTCGTATAGGCACTATCTTTGGCCACTAATAGTATGTCACGCAGGACCCCTATTTCTGTGAGCGGATTTCAAATTTCAAAACAAACCTCGCCTTGTCTGGCAGGTTAGTAAAAAGGAAACATATTTTTTTCATAAAACTTCATAGAGGTATTTTGAAATGTGACAGCTTACTCCTTTAATTGCATGCACGCTTTTTGTTTTTAATTACACTCCGGATGTATTCCCCTTGAAAAGTTTAAAGTCTACGCTAACGTTAGCTAGTAGGTGCCAATTATGGATGCGGGTGAAAAGCAGGGTGCGTTCCCCGTCTCTTGTGCAGATGGGAAGGTATCCGATATTCCAAGGCCTGCCTCAATCGAAGACTTCGTTGTTTTGAAGCCCATCAGCCGTGGTGCCTTTGGAAAGGTTTACCTTGCACGGAAGAAGAGCAATGCACGATTATATGCTATCAAGGCAAGTGATCAACATTTTACCACTGCTATGCACCTGCTCGACAGCTCACAACATTTAGCATTTTAAGTGGGGTGAACCACCAGTAACGGCTGTTAATGTAAAGGAGTTGGAAAGCATTTTGAACGTCAACATTTTTTTATTTACCTAACTTTTTGAGGATAATAACACTACTGGCTATTCACTTTTCTCCAGGTGGTGAAGAAAGCAGACATGCGTGACAAAAATATGGCAGATCAGATGAAGGCAGAGAGGGACGCATTGGCCCTCAGCAAAAGTCCCTTTGTCGTGCACCTCTTCTACTGTCTCCAAACAGCAACAAAAGTGTATTTGGTATGTGGTCCCAAAAAATACAAATGACAACAGTGAGTGACGCATGTCCCTGACCTGACTTTGGTATATTGCCTCTGTACATGTTTATCCATAGGTGATGGAATACCTGATTGGCGGGGACGTGAAATCACTTCTTCACATCTACGGCTATTTTGATGAGGACATGTCAGTGAAATACATTTCAGAGGTGGCACGTGCTTTAGACTACCTCCATCGCCATGGAATCACACACAGGTACTTTTATGACTACCTATCTTCAATATATTTGTGTTTATTTCACATTTTAGTATGATTGAGTTTTGCATTCTTTTAAATCCTTTAGGGACCTGAAGCCGGACAATATGCTTGTTTCTAATGAAGGCCACATCAAGCTTACAGACTTTGGCCTCTCCAAAGTGAAGCTTGACAGAGGTATGGGCACTGTAGCTTTCACTTAATTAATGCATCCATCTCCATCCACTTGCAGGCTTTTGTTGTGTTTTACATTTTAATTCCTTTTCCTTTCCCTACCAGAATTGAGTCTTGCAGATATCTTGACAACCCCATCTTTGGCAAAGCCTAAACAAGATTATTTCCGCACCCCTGGTCAAGTCCTGTCTTTGATCAGCTCTCTTGGACTTGTGAGTAAAGTTCCTTGTATTTAAGTATGTATTCATGGAGAATACATCAGTGAGGATAATACATGTGATATGATTGGTTTGTGCAGATACAGTACATTGTTTCCTGTTGCCATTTTAAAATATGTATTCTGTGCTCATCTCATCAAACACAGAACACACCAGCAGTGGAGGGCAAGCGGCACAGCAGCGGCTCGGCTGTGTTTAGCCCTATGTCATGTGGGAAAATTGAACAGCGGAAAAACTCGCTCAGTTCGCCCTTGAGGAGACAGAATGAATACCTGCGTTCCCCTGTCTGTCATAGCCGGACTTTGGGTATGTCTCTTCACCCCGTGTTTCAGGTTTTCATCTTTATCCATAGAGGGCAGACTGGTCAGATCTGTAGTCAAACCTGTCCTGAGGAGAAAGTGGATTCTGTTCCCTCAAACTGGTTCTAATCAGACATTTGTTTTGTTTTTTCAGGACCCAACAGCTGTGTGTTCAGCCCATATGCATTGGCCAAGAGCCTGACTCCCAGGCTGCTCAAGTCCAGGAGGAGGTTTGACACCATGAGCGCAGGTGGCAGCCAACCATGCCTCTTCCCCTCCACCACTGACTCAGAGGGAGGTGTCAGCCCACTATGGGAGCTGGAGCAGGTCAGAAACCAGTAGCAAATAAACATTTTGCATTCATTTGACTCATATATCTGTATTTGTGGGTCATTGGTTATTAGAAGATATGTATGTTATGAATGTTTTCCCGTTTTTCTTTTCTAGAAGGAGATTGAGAACTTGCCGTACCTATATGGTAGGAATGCAAGCGGACAAATGGGAGAAAAGGTGACCTCTGATATGCGGATGCTGGGATCGTTGGACAACTTGGATCTACGTGGACAGCTCCACCGAGAACCCAGTACTGGAGAACTGTCCAGGAAGGCCAAACAGGAACCCCATACTGGAAAGAGGCTTCAGTTTAACAAGATGGAGCAGTCTGCCCCACCCAAGAAGCCTGAACACTCTCAACCAATCAGAGGCAATGTTTCTGGAGCTGAAAGTATCTGTGCCACCGAAGGGAAACCAATGGGACGCCAGCCTGTGGTAACCTCAGCTGTAAAGAGAGGGTTTGAGGAGGTGGAGAAAAGTCCTGAGCAGTTGGAATCGCTTTCCAAGAAGAGAGACTCAGAGTACCAGAGGTGTTCTGGGGTCCCAGAAATGGCTTTGAAGTATCGCACTGGTCTGACTGGGGTGTTTGCCAATGTTCATTTGGAGGAGTTTGGATCTGAGGGTCAAGGGACTGCTGAAGGACAGGTGCCCAAACGCTCCAGTCCCATTGCTGTGACTAAAAACCTCCTGTGTGAGTTGGATGACCTAGCAGAGGGGGTCTTTGTTGAGGGCAGGTCTTTTGGTGAAGACCACGAGCTGAGCAGGAACCTGAGCATTGACTCTGAGGGGTCGGTTCATGAAATGTCCATCATCGTCAACAGCCCAACCCCAAAGAGGTCGACTCAAAGTGCCAAAGAAGGGCATTTGGCATTGTTAGAGCTAGACGACAGCGAAATATCACCCAGTACCCCACTGCCTCCTCAGCCACCCACCTTGGCTAGTATAGGAACAGCAAAGCTGGGCAACGGGCTCACCCTGCAAGGAGGCGTATCCAAACGCTCTTTCCTTGACAGAGTCCCCGAGCTGGACCCCAGCGTGGCCAAGTCACCCTCGTTCCTCAAGCCCAGGAACGTGGTGGCCTTCCGGAGCTACTGCAGCTCCATCAACCGCTCCAACATGTCGTGGAACTCACGCCTCAGCCTGGGCTCAGTGGAGGCCATGGATATGGCCACCTCAGCCTCCTACCACAGTATGCCTGCTGCCTTCACACCAGTCCAGAAGAGACCCAGCTCCAACAGCTCCCTCTATCAGGTAGATATACAGAGTCGAGGGTCAGGGATGGTGGCTACTGGGCTACATTCAAATGTATGACCTGAATATAGCTTTTTTTCAGGGTACTTATATTACACGACACTGTTTTATCGCAGTTATTTATTCATTTGTTTCCTCACTTCAGACCCCACAGCCGATGACAACATCCCACACTCCATTCAGGACCCCTAAGAGTGTCCGACGTGCTCCAGTGCCTGTGGAGGGTGTACCGATTTTAGGCACCCCAGACTACCTAGCCCCAGAGCTACTATTGGGGAAAGCACATGGTAAGAGATGACACATAAAAACATTTTTTTTTTGGTGGGGGTGGATTTCAAAACATTTCTTTATGTGTGTTGGTATAATTGCTGTCATCATCTTCACAACTTTATATGCAGGTATAAATGCCTGTTGAGAAATCAACAGTTCAGCCATTTTAACAGGCATTCTTTTTTAGTTTCAGGATATCATAATTGTGGTAAGTTGATCGTAACCTTGCTAACTGCCAGGGAAAATGCATGTGCTCTCAGCTTCTCTGCATTCACTGTCTAGTACCAGAGGAAATGACTGCCTGATTCAAAATTACGTGGATAGGTTGCAAAATGCTGGTTCTGATTCCCCATTGTAATTGCTGCTTCTGGCCCCTTGTATTGGGTTGGTGTGGACCCGTGTTGTGATTTAAATTGAGGGAAATACTAATGGGAAGCCAATTTTAGTGCATGGTGTTGACGATTCGAAAGAGAGTAATTTATATTTGTCAGAGTGGAGGACTAACATTGTTGACTGCCAGATGGGCCTTATTGTAAAGGCACATTTCCAAGCTGATAATTTGTCATGTTTCTAACGTTAAAACATTGATATGGGTTTTGTCCTGGAATATGATGTTTGGTGCCAAGGTGTGGATCTAATGTTCAAAATAATTAATTGGAAAAAATATATGTATTGGTTTAGATTGCAATAAATGGCATTATCTTACAAATTGTGAACAATTATTCAGGACTTAGTAATGTTAGCAAGCAATACACAAGTTCAACATCCCCCTCACATCGTCCACAATCATTAAATTGAGAAGTGTGTGGATTTTACAATTATCCCATATTTTACATGAAACATTAAGCGTAATGTTGTCTGATTTGTCTAACTAAGTTCCTGCTTCCACCGCTGTAGAATAGAGGCACATCCTAACAGGAAAATAGCACAGTGACACTACAGTACTGGTACCTAAGATAAGTATGTGACTGTCTGTATCTGTTCCCCCCTCAGACTACATGGTGGACTGGTGGGCCCTGGGTGTGTGTCTGTTTGAGTTCCTCACCGGTGTGCCCCCCTTCAATGACGAAACCCCTCAGCTTGTCTTCCAGAATATTCTCAACAGAGGTAGATATCAGCAGCTGCCATGGCTGTTTATTGCATCTGTTATGTTATCAGTGTGAGATGAAGGCCTTTATTGCTAAGTAAAATCATGCATTTCAAAGTGTTCTTTATCACCAATATTGTTTATTTAGTTATTTTTTTATCTCAGATATCCCATGGCCTGATGGTGATGAGGAGCTATCCCACAATTCCCGGAATGCCATAGAGATCTTACTCACCATGGACATGAACAAACGGGCTGGACTCAAAGGTAAGGGTTTCTTTGCCCGATTTTAAAGGCAGTTCAGTGTAACCAAACAGTAATAATACCATTTAATGGATGCCATTTAAAATTGACCATTTTGATTGATCAATTTTGTTTGTTTGTTGCTACAACCAAATTTGTTTTAATTTCTGCATCAGAACTGAGGAGCCACGCTCTCTTTGCGGGGTTGGACTGGGATAACCTTCAGAACCAGACCATGCCCTTCATCCCCCAGCCGGAGGATGAAACGGACACGTCATACTTTGACGCCAGAAACACTGCCCAGCACCTAGTCATGTCTGGCTTCAGTCTGTAGGTTTGTACACCAGCGTTGGGGTGAATTCCATTCCAGTCTATTCAGGAAGTACACTGAAATTCCAATTATCTTCAATCCTTTTCAATTGGTAAAATTTGGAATTGGGTTTACTTTCTGAATTGAAATGGAATTGACTCCACCCTGTACACAGACTACCTCACTATGCTATCCTCGATCCCTCATCCTCCACCATGTATCACTGCAGATTTTCCCCTGCTGTTATGTAGGCTGGGAAGGTCCCCTCTTGAGTTCTGTTTTAGGGTTATAGTTGGTTAAGAAAAGAAAAGTAGGATTAATATATATATATATACTAAGAATCTTTTTATGTGTGAATTAGTTGTTGAATATTTGTACTGTCTGTCAGCTTAACTGTCTTTTTATATCACGTAGCACCATGTTTCACTGCTCTTTTATGCACCTGCCATTTGTAAAGTGACCACTATGATTGATTTCATCTTCATAAACTACATATGTATGGATAATCTCAACAAAATGTTTTTATTTCTTGTAGATTTATTTTATTGACATGTTCCTATGAGAAAAAACGTACAAATAAAATGGATGTTGTGTGAAGTGATAGCTAAAATTTAATATTTTCTTACAATGATACACTTAACATAAACCCAAACAAAAACAAAGAAGAACCAAAACATTTGAGTGCAAGGAGGAATGTCTTAAGTGCTTGTGGTCAGATATTGTGTGTTGTGAATCTCCATAAGAGGAATTTGTTTTCAGTCAAAAACAGATCAAAATGCTTTATTAACTTCATTTGTGCCTTGGATTACAGATCACATGCAAACAACCATCTACCCATAAGGCAGAAAACGTGAGCGCTTTAGATTCATATTTAGTAGAAAGTGTAATTGTTATTTAACAAATCAATGGCTCTGAAAAGCACATCAGCTCTACTGCCAATGTAAATCTTATGTATATTAATTTGATATAGATTCATACTACATTAATACATTAGAATGCAATTTAACTATTACATTATAATGTTAATATAATCTGGACTGTACAGCTATTTTATACAATGTATACTACAAGAACCAATTCAAAAAGGTTTTTAGATCTAACAGATTTAAAACTCAGTTACAAAGAAAGTATTAAAAACACACAGACGCCATACATAACCATCATCTTCAGTCAGACCAAATTTACACATCCATGGACAATGTTCCTTTACAAAAAAAATCACATAATATACTTTGCTACATTAAAACATAAGAATATTGCTATTAAAAGTCCAGTAAAAAAAACAAATGTTCAGTTTCCCCTCCCCACTCACACCACTCCCCCAGACAGCCCTAGCAAAATGATGATAATGCCCTTTCAGTGTAAGAGCTGTTTGAAAAGACTGCCTGAAATTTCAGCCTGTTTTGGTGGGAATGAGTATTGGCCTGCCTGGTGACATCACCAGGTGCTAAATAGACCAATAAGAAAGAGTTCCAAACCTCTCTGCCAATAACATTTCTGGGTAACAATTAAGTACCTTACTGTGAATGTTTCCAATGAAAATGGTAAAAAATAAACAATTTTGTTTATTTTTTACTTTTTTAAATTGGAAACATTCACAGTAAGATACTTAACTGTTACCCAGAAATGATTTAAGAGATTTATTGAGATAAAAACGGCTGCATTGGACCTTTTAAAGAAAGTGAGAAAGACATTAGATCTTATGATTGGTTCGAAACCATACAGCTAAGAGCAGTGTTTCCCAACTCCAGTCCTTGAGTACCCTCAACAGCACACTTTTTTGTTGTTGTTTTAGCCCCGGACAAACTCACCAGATTCAACTCATTGAGCGCTACATGATTAGTTGACAAGTTGAATCAGGCATGCTTGTCCGGGCGCTACAACAAAAATGTGTGCTGTTACGGGCGCTCAAGGACTGGAGTTAGGAAACACTGCCTTAGAGGAGAAAGTATGATTTGATTTGATTTGATTTGAAAGTACTGTTTGTTCGGTTTGAATTTGAAAATCATCATTATACAGTTTTTCACTGCCCTAAACAAGGCATGGGATGGATAGGCCTACATTCTTTTAGTGTCCAATGAGCATTTCTCATCCATCTGGTTCTCTTATTTTTTTAAGAATTTGGTCCAATGCTACAATTATGTTGAGATGTTTTACGAGAGTGAACAAAACTACAATACCCCAGAACCGTAGCATATACAATACCTCATATACTTTACATTGGCGAGGCACTTTATCATGGGTTGATGAAATTCAGAACATACACACGCTACGTGTATAAAAACATGATCAGATATGAAATATGTTACTAAATATGAACCATTCACATCCTAGAGAAAACATTTAGCAGTAATGTACAACCTAACGTAATGTACAACCTAACCTGGTTAACCAAAGACAAAGCCTTAATTTTCATTTCATGTTATTAGAAATAATAAATTCATACATTTTCAGAATTAAATGTACCTTTCAAAGAATACATAATTATATATACTTTATCTACCTACAGTTATCACGGTATATTAGCAGCATTGCCTAAGAAACTATTATGATATGGCCTATGGTTTATATTGCAGTATGTGTCACGACTTCCTCCGAAGCTGCCTCCTCTCCTTGTTTGGGCAGGCTTCGGCGTTCGTCGTCAACGGCCTTCTAGCCACTGCGCTCCTCATCTCATCATTCCATTTGTTTTGTTTTGTTTATTACACACACCTGGTTCATATCCCCTCATCAGTGCCTGTATAAGTGTTCCCTCTGCCCCCTTGTCTTTGTGTGTGATTGTTTATTGTGAAGGTTAGATTAGCTCAGTGGAGCTCTTTGTATGTTGTATCGCCGGGATATTTCACCCGTGTGCCTTGTTGTTTCCAGTGCACCTGATTTCCGCACTGGAGTGTTCGATGCATTGCTGCGTACCGCTGTGTTTTCGGAATAAACCTTTTATTCTGTGATTTACTCTCCTGCGCCTGACTCCTTCAAAATCACTCACCACAATATGTCCATGGCAGGCATTTGCAGAACAAGTTAGATAATTCTTATAATGCCCATAAGAAAGAGATTACAATAGTTTCTCTATCTACGAACATTGCCATAATCAACATAAACAATAACTTTCCCCTCCGAAGTTAAATCCTAATAATTTCTTCAGAGCAAAATAATTACTAATGTAGTAGAGTAATTCTAGCTTATCATCTCAAAAAATCTTGCATGATTACAAGCTGTGGTTCAATACATTCACATTTCTCTTTGATTTCAATTCTAGTGGCTTGTGAGGCTTCCACTACTCACTACTCCTCGTGCAATCTTCATAGTGCAAAAGCTATAGTTATGGAGGTGTGGGGAAAGCAAAAGGGAGGCAACGGTCGTTACCAAACCAAAGACTGTTGAGAGAGTTCTCTTCGTCGTTTTGTGTATTTGGGGATTTTTCAGTTGATTCGTCTGACAGTGGGGACAGGACTCAATGTTAGACAACATTCTTACTAAGTTCAAGCCTCTATCAAACAATGTATTATTTTGATAGAGCTACTGTATCAACATATACAGAGTATCAGAGGCAGAATCATGAATGGATGACCAAATAACATGTAACAAAATGTCTCAATTTACTCAAAATACTATTGACTTATAGTTATTTTAGAATATCCCCATTTTGCTATACAATTACCTTCTCCTAAGTTGAAGATATCGGCGGATAAGCCACTGCACCACAAATGGCCATACCACAGCAAAGGCTACAGTCCTGGGAGACACGTCGAAAGGCCACCAGGATGGTTTCTAGTGGACAGATGAATAAAAAGTGATCAAAATGAAGGTCACAATATCCCTAAAACCAAAGGTACCTATATTCTGAATCTAAATGTGTGTGAATAGACAGAAAACTAGGAAAATACAAAGGGTATCTTTAGTCTATGACTATGGGAGTCCAAATTAAACGTTGACAGACAGTAAAGGCAGTGCAACGTACCTTACTATTCGTCTTTGCCAGGGGTGATGGTGGGTATGGTAGAGCCGATGGCCTTGCCTAGAGAACATATAAAAAGAGAGAAGAAAGGTACACAACAAATTACTACTTATAACATACCTAAAAAGTTACAGTCCATCTTAAAGTCATGGTCCAAAATACAAAATCCAAAAAAGTATTAAGTATGAATACAAAAGATTGAGGTGTGCAGGTACTGCATAACTGCATGTTTGTTACAGGGTTATTAGATACCTTTTCCACAGTAGTCACTATCAACAGGCTATGTAATATAATTGAGTAATTCAAATGCTAAATGTGGGTCTCTGACATGGGATGCAGTGAGGGCCTCCAGTGTGTGCAGTCTCTCCAGGACACGTTGCATGTCTTCCTGCAGTCTGGCCAGCGCCACTATGATCTGCTCATTCAGACTGCCTCCTGGTGTCCCCGCTCCACCCCATCGCTCCCTGTCCCCCCCGCTACCCTGCAAGGGCTTCTGGACACCTGGACTGTGCCCTGAAGACCTAGAACCTATAACACACGCAAACACAGAAGAGAGGTGTAAACACTGACATACACTTGTAGGTAAACAGAGAAGTAAGACAGGGCCTAAACACACACACACCTTACCTCGTTCTCTCCTGACCAGGGAGCTATTGGGCCTATCTGCATTCAGTCTTTGTCTCTGAGAGGCCCCTCCACTAGTCTCCCCATCCTCCCCGCCACACTGGATGCCCGCCACACTGGCCCCTCCACTAGTCTCCCCCTCTTCCCCCTGCTCCTCATCCAGCTCCAGACAGCGGTCAGTTTGTGCCTCGGAGCCCTGGACCAAACAGACATACTGAACATGAGGATTTGGAAATGCTCCATGTACTGTGTACATGGAGTGTGTACTTGCATTGTCTGTGCTTGTCTGTACACTGTGCTTGTGCCCTCTGATTCAGAGGGGTTGGGTTAAATGCGGAAGACACATTTCGGTTGAATACATTCAGTTGTGTAATTGACTACATGACAGCTTTGCACACTCTTGGCATTCTCTCAACCAGCGTTACCTGGAATGCTTTTCCAACAGTTTTGAAGGAGTTCCCACATATGCTGAGCACTTGTTGGCTGCTTTTCCTTCACTCTGCGGTCCAACTCATCCCAAACCATCTCAATTGGGTTGAGGTTGGGTGATTGTGGAGGCCAGGTCATCTGATGCAGCACTCCATCACTCTCCTTCTTGGTCAAATAGCCCTTACACAGCCTGGAGGTGTGTTGGGTCATTGTCCTGTTGAAAAACAAATGATCATCATCATCTGGTTTGCGCTTAGTGGGACTGTGTATCGCTGCAGAATGCTGTGGTAGCTATGCTGGTTAAGTGTGCCTTGAATTCTAAAGAAATCACTGACAGTGTCACCAGCAAAGCACCCCCACACCATCACACCTCCTCCTCCATGCTTCACGGTGGGAACCACACATGCGGAGATCATCCGTTCACCTACTCTGCGTCTCACAAAGACACGGCGGTTGGAAACAAAAATCTCAAATTTGGACTCATCAGACCAAAGGACAGATTTCCACCGGTCTAATGTCCATTGCTCATGTTTCTTGGCCCAAGCAAGTCTCTTCTTATTGGTGTCCTTTAGTAGTGGTTTCTTTGCAGCAATTCGACCATGAAGGCCTGATTCATGCAGTCTCCTTTGAACAGCTGATGTTGAGATGTGTCTGTTACTTGAACTCTGTGAAGCATTTATTTAGGCTGCAATTTCTGAGGCTGGTAACTCTAATGAACTTATCCTCTGCAGCAGAGGTAACTCTGGGTCTTCCTTTCCTGTAGCGGTCCTCATGAGAACCAGTTTCATCATAGCGCTTGATGGTTTTTGCGACTGCACATGAAGAAACATTCAAAGTTCTTGTCTTAATGTAATGATGGACTGTCGTTTCTCTTTGCTTATTTAAGCTGTTCTTGCCATATTATGGACTTGGTCTTTTACCAAATAGGGCTATCTTCTGTACACCACCCCTACCTTGTCACAACACAACTGATTTGCTCAAACACATTACAAAGGAAAGAAATTCCACAAATTAACTTTTAACAAGGCACACCTGTTAATTAAAATGCATTCCAGGTGACTACCTCATAAAGCTGGTTGAGAGAATGCCAAGAGTGTGCAAAGCTGTCATCAAGGCAAAGGGTGGCTATTTGAAGAATCTCAAATATAAAATATATTTTTGATTTGTTTAACACTTTTTTGGTTACTACATGTTTCAATGTGTGTTATTTCATAGTTTTGATGTCTTCACTATTATTCTACAATGTAGAAAATAGTAAAAATAAAGAAAAACCCTGAAATGAGTAGGTGTGTCCAAACTTTTGACTGGCACTGTAGGTATCCCCTTTCCTCTTACCTCTTCCAGGCCAAGCTGGTCCATTGAGTCACAGTAGACCTCACTGTCTGAGTCACTGGCCACGTGATAGGGCCTGAATAAATCTGCATCGAGATCTATGGAAACAAATAGCACCCCGTCCCATACAGGTCAGGTCAGATTCTTAGCCATATGGGAACCTTCCCTCAGAGAGAAGTTAGTGCTAGCAGGACCGATTAAGAAGCAACACAAATGCAACCAGTGCTGAGGCCTGTGCTCCATTAGCATCATATTATGTGTTCCACATTCCAAATGTATCCTTTCTCCTTTCTCAAGGTGATCACTAATTTGATGTAATGAGATGATGAGAGGTGAAAGTAATAGAAATACAACTGGCCCTAGACCAGCTTTTAGGAGCATAATGTAATGGCAATCCATCAGAGCAGGGAGTCTGTGGCTGTTCCCAGGGAAATGCTGAGTTGCAACAGCTCTGGGAGTAAAGCTGAGCAGCTTATCAGATCACATGGCCAAGGATCCATGAGAACAACCGCCCACTGTGGGCAGGCAGGGTGCTAAGCTATTGAGGCCTGACTATCCATTTTTAAACCTTTTATGGATATCTGGTTAATGGAGGATCTGGGTTAGAGGATCTGATTATTGTTGAAGATAGCAATGTTCATATTCTGATATTCTGCATACTGGATATTAATGACAATTGTGAATTGTATCCAAATTCAATACTCAGTTCTGTTATAACAGAAAACTCTAGGCCTAATATAATAGCTACGTCTGTATACCTATGGTATACGTAACAACAATACACACATGTAAAACCCATCATGCAACCTGATTTGTTAGTTTCTATCTTTATCTACGGTGCCCGAAATACCTATTGGTTACCACAGGGAAAGAGTTTCTACCTTTTTGTGTTTACAATAAATTGTAAGTAATGTTAGTATACAATCTATCTGCAATATTAAAGCTGATCTACCCTGATAAAAAGTCATGTTAGTGTAAAGCGCAATTTACTATTCATAATCTGGCGGCCATGGATAAGAGACTTACTGCACATAGGCATAGGGAACTCAAACCGTCGACCATGGCAACGTAGGCACAACATTCTAACCAAGGCAGTTAACCCCCAACAACAATGGCTCCCCTGGCGCTGATGATGTGGATGTCGATTAAAACAGCCCCCCGCACCTCTCTGATTCAGAGGGGTTGGGTTAAATGCGGAAGACACATTTCGGTTGAATCCATTCAGTTGTGCAACTGACTAGGTATCCCCTTTCCCTTTACCAGGGTTTCCCAAACTCGGTCCTGCCTACAGGAAGGTAGCGCTTCAAGAACAGGGTTGGAGAGCCCTGCTGTTGTCGATGCAACATTAACCCGTGGTACCCACCTGCGTGGTGGCCGTTGACCTGGACATGGGGCTCCAAGGGCAGGGTGCTGTTGGTGAGCCCCTCCTCTGAGTCCTCACTGTTCAGGGCTGCCTTGGAGGTGTGGGTCTCATTGGTGAGGTGGCCCACCCCGTTCCACACACTACCATTGAACAGGGGTACAGGTCTCCTGGATGAGCAATTTTTCTTCACTGAAAGATTTTAAAAACACAAAAAAAAACATTTATTATAAGAAAAGCATTTCTGCTTAACGTTTTCCTTTTTTTTTTAATGTTCAAATGTTTGACAACATATACCTTTTTTCACCTCAACAATTTCTAATTTTCCATCCTCCATCTCATCTTCCTCATCAAACTCGAACTCCTCTTCCTCCCCCTGTTCTTTCAGTGCCATGACTTTGGGCTTTGGAGGTTCAACAGCCTGTCTGGGTGGCCGTGTCTCCAAAGTGCCATTCATTTCCATTGTCCTAATGATGCTCCTTGTGACACTTTTTGAAGGTGCTGATGTTAGCATGGTTCCAAAACCTATGGCATAGCAACAACTGTGTTACAATGTTATAGAACTATATGTTACTATTAGTTTAATTTAGCCAAATTAGAAGATATACTAGGAGACATACTAGGAGATACATTCTAATTAGCCAAACAAGGAGACATACTAGGAGATAAGTTCTAATTTAGCCAAACTAGGAGATATACTAGGAGATAAGTTCTAATTTAGCCAAACTAGGAGATATACTAGAAGATAAGTTCTAATTTAGCCAAACTAGGAGATATACTAGGAGATAAGTTCTAATTTAGCCAAACTAGGAGATATAAAGCTAAAATATAAACCCCCAAAAAGATTAAAGAAATGTATTTATACAGAACTACAACACCAGGCATAACTAAGGGGCAGGTCATTGTGGGTAAATAATACATGTCCAAACACTTGCCTTCAAGTTGCCTAGCAAACCTTGTCAAACGGGCTGAGCACATGATAGAAATTGATACATTAAAATGGAAGACATTCCAAATAAAATTAATAAAATTAATATGAAATCAATTTAGAACGGTAGTGACAGTACCTGCAGACAGGTCTGACACCTGATTTATCTGCTTTTTCTCTTCCACCTGTTCGTAGAATGGGCCCAGCACCTTTAGAAGCTGCTCTACCTCATCTGTACAGGGCATGCCCTCAAGGATCTGTTGTTTAAACACGACAACAAACACATTTAGTGTCCACTGACGTCCAGGCGATCCTGTCTGAATGTCATTGACAGATTTTCATCAACAAAGTGATCTACCTCCGGGTTGGAGTCAATTCCTTTTAACTTAATTTAACTAAGGAAATTTCAATTCAAGAATAGAATTCTAGTCGCTTCCTGGATTCATCAACAATGTATTAGAATAGATGCCAACGCTGGTATGCACTTACCAGCTTCATTTCATCAACGTAAGCCGTCATTGCCTCTTCCTTGGGCATATCTCCCAGATCACTCCATGCATCCCTATGTAGACAGATCAAGATGTTTAACAATTCACCTACATTAACAGTCTCCTAGAGTACAATGCAAGTATTCAGACCCCTTCACTTTTTCCACATTTTGTTACGTTACAGCCTTATTCTAAAATGGATTAAATAAAATAAAAATGCTCATCAATTACACACAATACCCCATAATGACAAAGTGAAAACAGGTTTAGTCATTTTTGCAAATGTATTACAAATAAAAAACAGAAATACCTTATCTACATAAGTATTCAGACCCTTTGCTATGAGACTCGAAATTGAGCTCAGGTGCATCCTGTTTCCATTGATCATCCTTGAGATGTTTCTACAACTTGATTGGAGTCCACCTGTGGTAATTTCAATTGATTGGACATGATTTGGAAAGGCACACACCTGTCTATATAAGGTCCCACAGTTGACAGTGCATGTCAGAGCAAAAACCAAGCCATGAGGTTGAAGGAATTGTCCGTAGAGCTTAGAGACAGGATTGTGTCAAGGCACAGATCTGGGGAAGGGTACCAAAACATTTCTGCAGCTTTGAAGGTCCCCAAGAACACAGTGGCCTCCATCATTCTTAAATGGAAGAAGTTTGGAACCACCAAGACTCTTCCTAGAGCTGGCCGCCCGGCCAAACTGAGCAATCGGGGGAGAAGGGCCTTGGTCAGGGTGGTGACCAAGAACCCGATGGTCACTCTGACATAGCTCCAGAGTTCCTCTCTGGAGATGGAAGAACAACCATCTCTGCAGCACTCCACCAATCAGGCCTTTATGGTAGAGTGTCCAGACAGAAGCCACTCCCCAGTAAAAGGCACGACAGCCCGCTTGGAGTTTGCCAAAAGGCACCTACAAGTACTCTCAGACCAAGAGAAACAAGATTCTCTGGTCTGATGAAACCAAGATTGAACTCTTTGCTTGAATACCAAGCGTCACGTCTGGAAGAAACCTGGCACCATCCCTACGGTGAAGCACGGTGGTGGCAGCATCATGCTGTGGGGATGGTTTTCAGCGGCAGGGACTGGGAGACTAGTCAGGATCGAGGCAAAGTTGAACGGAGCAAAGTACAGAGAGATCCTTGCTGAAAACCTGCTCCAGAGCGCTTAGGACCTCAGACTGGGGCGACGGTTCACCTTCCAACAGGGCAACAACCCTAAGCACACAGCCAAGACAACACAGGTGTGGCTTCAGGGACAAGTCTCTGAATGTCCTTAAGTGGCCCAGCCAGAGTCCGGATTTGAACGCGATCGAACATCTCTGGAGAGACCTGAAAATAGCTGTGCAGAAACGCTCCCCATCCAACCTGACAGAGCTTGAGAAGATCTGCAGAGAAGAATGGGAGAAACTCCCCAAATACAGGTGTGCCAAGCTTGTAGCGTCATACCCAAGAAGGCTGTAATCATTGGCAAAGGAGCATCAACAAAGTACTGAATAAGGGTCTGAATACTTATGTAAATGTAATATTTCAGTTTTTATATTTTAATAAATTTGCAAAATTTTAGAAGTGACATCCTTATTTTATGACTTATCGTCATGCCGTCTTTGGTGTGCACGAGCACCTTTTTTCCCCACTCATATCGATAAAATAATTGTATTAAGTCCTACAAAAGTTTTACTGTGCATTATGTTTTAAATGCATTCTGTCATTATTAAATGTGATAGGTATTTTAACTTAAATATATATTTTTATTATACACAAAAAAACATTTGATTAATAAAACATTTAAATCGGTCATCTTACTCAAAAGAAGGGGATGATGATGCAATCTTTGCAAGAGGGAGGGAATCTGATTTCATTGGTCCTCACCTCGCGGCTCAGACACTTCATTCAGGATAAATGGAGTTAGCCCTGATTTAGCCTGGCCCGGAGCAGGTTAGTTCTGAAGGATTCATTGCCATAGCAATGTACCTGGCTAAAAAGTGAGCCACTTTCGTGGTACCGCTTATCCCGAGTTGAACTCAAAGTTGATCAAAGTTACCTCGGTAACGCCTCAAACCTGATTCGTAATGACATAATCATGCCATTTGTTATCAGCAGAGTATCCACTTGGTCAATGACCCAGAAGCACATCGAGCTAAGTAGTAGCTGGCTTGCCACCTCTACAAGTTAGGGCCAGTAAAGCAGTAATCGTCTAAACAGCTTCAGTGTCAATTCTAAAAGAGAATTAGCTCAGTGTAGCCATCTTCTTTAACAATCTATAAACATTGTACACAAGTAAACACTGTCAACTCCCGCCAAGTAGGTAAAAGGTGACCTGACATATCATGCCTCTCCAGCACAACAGGTCCCGAGTTAATCAGACAACATGTGGCAATAGGAAAGTTAACTGCAAGGACAATACAGAGAAAACAAATAGGACTCCAGTGCAGAATCTCTGTTGTTAGAAGACCTTATTTGACTCCTACGCATAGCTGCGGGAAGTAGGGGTGCTGAGGGTGCTGCAGCACCCCCTGAACAATCAGAATAAAAATAAATAAAACATTCACAAAAGTAGTGCACTGGGCCTTTACTAGTATTAGCGGACCGATATAGACGTCTGTAGTGCAGGCAAAAAAAAATTGTCAGCATTTCGCTTTAGCAAAAAAGGTAGTTGTATAATTAAGAACAGTATCTTGCAGGATTCAATAGTTGGAATTGTAAAAGGTGTTGCCCTGTCCCTTTCTCTACGATTGTCATTCTAATGGAATCCAGAAAGAACAAAACCCTGTCCTCAAACATTTACATCAAAAGGTGCAACGTTATGGGCAAAGACACAAAACATCCACATCAAATTAAATATTTTTCTTGATCAAATAACATGGAAAACAACCCCTTTTTGTGCAGTATTAATTTACCATCCTTACAAACCACTTAATGTAAATGCACATTACTTTATTGTACATAGGCTGGTCATCTAGGTTTGTACCTGTAGACTTTCCATCAACATGAAGAAAAACAATGCACAATACAGTAATTGAGTACATTGAGACAGTAAGTTTGTGATAATGCGATGTGACGATGTGGCTCAGTTGGTAGAGCATGGCGCTTTCATGCTAAGGTTGTGGGTTCGATTCCCACTGGGAAAAAGTATGAACATGTATGCACTCACTACTGTAAATTGCTCTGGATAAGAGTGCCTACTAAAATGGAAAAGGAATGAATAGACCATTTCAGTTTTCACATAGAAATAAGTTGCATTTTGCAAAGTACTTCAAGAAACTGGAAAACATATATCAAGCAAGTATTTTTATATTCCACAAGTATTATCAGATTATTATTATTATTACCCCCCCCCCTCACCAGCACAGCACCCCCACCCTCAAACTACTTCCCGCGGCTATGCTCCTAAGGTTTTGTTTGCATTACCATTTAACTTTGCCCACCGGATCCCAAAAGCCAGGTCTGGGTATGTTGCATGGTCCAAGTGTGGCTTGTTTGTAGTAACTGTAAAACTTGAGCATCATGTCATTAGAGGGCTGAAAGGAACCTGGAATGGAAACACAAAATACAAATAAATCTTACATTTGACAGGCTTTTGGAAAACTCTGTGGGGTTCACACACATTGCATTTAATTGTAATTTCATTGTATTTTGGGTATTTTGTATTTTATTAGGATCCCCATTAGCTGTTGCGAAAGCAGCAGCTACTCTTCCTGGGGTCCACGCAAAACATGAAACGACATAATACAGAACATTAATAGACAAGAACAGCTCAAGGACAGAACTACATACATTTTTAAAAAGGCACACGTAACCTACATATCAATGCATACACACAAACTATTTAGGTCAAATAGGGGAGAGGCACTGTGCCGTGAGGTGTTGCTTTATCTGTTTTTTGAAACCAGGTTTGCTGTTAATTTGAGCAATAAGAGAGATGGAATGTTCCATGCAATAATGGCTCTATATAATACTGTACGCTTTCTTGAATTTGTTCTGGATTTGGAGACTGTGAAAAGACCCCTGGTGGCATGTCTGATGGGGTAAGTGTGTGCGTCAGAGCTGTATGTAAGTTGACTGTGCAAACAATTTGGGATTTTCAACACATTCATGTTTTTTATAAGAAAAAGTGATGCAGTCAGTCTCTCCTCAACTCTTAGCCAAGATGCATATTATTGATATTAGCCCTCTGATTCCAATGAAGAGCAAGACGTGCCATTCTGTTCTGGGCTAGCTGCAGTTTAACAAGGTCTTTCTTTGCAGCACTTGACCATATAACTGGACAATAATCAAGATAAGATAAAACTGGAGCCTGCAGGACTTGCTTTGTGGAGTGTGGTGTCAGAAAGCAAAGCATCTCTTTACCATGGACAGTGCCATTCTCTATAAGCATGCTGAAAGTCTGTTTACAGAGAAATAGCATTGTATTTGGTCAAACACCATTTTTTCCAACAGTTTGCTAAGAGCTGGCAGCAAGCGGATAGGTCTGCTGTTAGAACCAGTAAAGGCCGCTTTACCACTCTTGGGTAGCGGAATGACTTTGGCTTCCCTCCAGGCCTGAGTACAAAGACTTTCCTCTAGGCTCAGATTAAACATATGACAGATAGGAGTGGCTATAGAGTCAGCTACCATCCTCAGAAACTTTCCAACTAAGTTGTCAATGCCAGGAGGTTTGTCATTATTGATTGATAACAAAAAAAAAATCTACTTCTCCCACAATAACTTTATAAAATTCAAATTTGCAATGCTTTTCTTTCATTTTTGTTTTTATGCATGTTTCTTTTTAATGCATATTTGTTTTTTCAATGATTGTAATGTAATTCAGGCTATAGAAAAGGCAAATAGACCTACTCCCAGACAGCTTTGTTGTACAGTGCAGTCGGAAAGTATTCAGACCACTTGACTTTTTTTGTTACATCAAATATTTGTTTTCCCTCATCAATCTACACACAATACCCCATAATGACAAAGCGAAAACAGGTTTTTAGAAATGTTTGCTAATTTATAAAAATAACCAAAACAGAAATACCTTATTTACGTAAGTATTCATACCCTTTGCTATGAGACTGGAAATTGAGCTCAGGTGCATCCTGTTTCCATTGATCATCCTTGAGATGTTTCTATAACTTGATTGGAGTCCACCTGTGGTAATTGGACATGATTTGGAAAGGCACACATCTGTCTATATTAGGTCCCATAGTTGACAGTGCATGTCAGAGCAAAAACCAAGCCATGAGGTCGAAGGAATTGTCCGTAGAGCTCCGAGACAGGATTGTGTCGAGGCACAAATCTGCGGAAGGGTACCAAAAAATGTCAGCAGCGTTGAAGGTCCCCAAGAACACAGTGGCCTCCATCATTCTTAAATGGATGACGTTTGGAACCCCCAAGACCCTTCCTAGAGCTGGCCGCCCGGCCAAACTGAGCAAACGTCCTTTCTGGTAGAGTGGCCAGACAGAAACCACTCCTCAGTAAAAAGCACATGACAGCCCGCTTGGAGCTTGCCAAAAGGCACCTAAAGGACTCTCAGACCATGAGAAACAAGATTCTTTGGGCTGATGAAACCAAGATTGAACTCTTTGGCCTGAATGCCAAGCGTCACATCTGGAGGAAACCAGGCATTGCTCATCATCTGGCCAACACCATCCCTACGGTGAAGCATGGTGGTGGCAGCATCATGCTGAGGGGATGTTTTTCAGCGGAAGGGACTGGGACACTAGTCAGGATTGAGGGGAAAGATGAACAGAGCAAAGTACAGAGAGATCTGCTCCAAACCTGCTCCAGAGTGCTCAGGACCTCAGACTGGGGTGAAGTTTCACCTTCCAACAGGACAACGACCCTAAGCACACAGCCAAGACAAGGCAGGAGTGGCTTTGGGACAAGTCTCTGAATGTCCTTGAGTGGCCCAGCCAGAGTCCGGACTTGAACCCGATCTAACATCTCTGGAGAGACCTGAAAATAGCTGTGCAGCGACGCTCCCTATCCAACCTGACACAGCTTGAGAGGATCTGCAGAGAATAATGGGAGAAACTCCCCAAATACAGGTGTGCCAAGCTTGTAGCGTCATACCCAATAAGACTCGAGGCTGTAATTGCTGCCAAAGGTGCTTCAACAAAGTACTGAGTAAAGGGTCTGAATACTTATGTAAATGTGATATCATTATTTTATTTTTTTATACGTTTGTAAAAATTTATAAAAAACATTTTTTGCTTTGTCATTATGGGGTATTGTGTGTATGTCATTATAAGGTATTGTGTGTAGATTGATGAGGGGGGGGGGGGGAACAATTTAATCCATTTTAGAATAAGGCTGTAACACAACAAAATGGGTAAAAAGTCAAGGGGTCTGAATACTTTCCGAATGCACTGCATGTAGGTTAACTTAATTGCCTTTGCTACAATGTGGCACATAGCCTAGACCTTAGTTAAAGCCCTTACCGTCTGGAGGCAAGCTTTGTATCACTTTGACAGCGGCGTCAAACCTCAGCTCGTACAAAGGTCTGCCATCCTCCATCTCCATCAAGAACCGAAGTGTGAATTACGATAGCGAACTATTCAAACCTAGAGATAATCATGATTGAAATGGTCAGCTATATACTACTAACATGAGAGTTGAGTTGGTTGCAGCAATATTTGTGGCTACAGCTAGGTCATACGCCCATAATAACATTGGTCAAATAACGTATGCAAACCGTTCACAATAACATACACGTTTTTCAAATATAGAATTATATATATAGCTGACTATTTACAACCACATAACAGTAACCTAAGCTAAACCAAAACCACCATGAGGTTATGTCGTCTGTGAAATTTAGAGCGCTCAACGCAAGAAACAACACAAATGGTTTAAAAACATCCTTGTTAGTTTTATATTTCTAATTAACACAAAAAAACTATGCATTGTACTCGGTAAATAAGCTCAGTACGTTAGTCACTCACCATTTAATGATCTACCTGCTTGGTGACCGACCTCTCTTTATACTTACCAACAGAAGCCATGCACAATACAGTAATGACAGGCACTGTATGCTAAGGGAGTTGTAGTTTTCTACTGCTAAAATTGAGATACATATCAAAGATGGTGGATAAATAAAGATAGTTCACTCAGGCCGAAGGACCATTGAAAACAATGGTCGGTTGCTGTCTACTTAAGGGGGTGGCTCTCCCATAGACACCAATGTAATAGCAGTTGGGTCTGGTCAACTTAAACTAACGTAGCAGGCGTGAAATGAAACGTTGAAACAGAAAGAATGAGGAAGTGGGATATCTCGCTTCCTCTTCCGTCTGATAAATACGTTATTGAGGATACACGTAAATCCCTACAACCTCCACAATGCACAGTGGGAGCTTACTGGATATGTAGTTCTAAATGCAATCAATGGCTGAGTGTGTAATTGACCTCAAAACATGTTCCATCAAATACATGTATGGTAAAGGGATGAAGCCACCACAATACTATGTGTTGTTGGCCACAATAAGAAATGTTACATGAGCATGCAGCCTGAGCATAAAATCATCACGCGTTGATATTTTGTATAAAATTTGACGACTGTTGCCACTCGGAAACGCAGAAATGATACATTGTAACACTACGTATCCCAGCATTCTACACCGTGATCCATGTTTAGTTGTTTTTTTGCGGGTGGGTGATAGGTTGCGCGGATGTGAAAGCGAGGCCAAGAATCCCACTATACCAGGCGAAGGAGTTTCTTCATTTTTTCGAAGCAGAGCTGGTGGTTTCAATCAAAGGGAAGGCGAAGAAGCTATGCGGGGAGATGTAAGATGGCAGAGCTGCAAATGTTGTTAGAGGAAGAAATTCCAGCCGGCAAAAGAGCTCTTGTAGAGAGTTACCAGAATCTTACGCGGGTAGCAGACTACTGTGAAAACAATTATGTTCAGGTAAGCAAAGGGAGTGAATTTACTCAACATTGTTATCTCGGAATTCTTTGTCGTTGAACGGTTGGGAAACTGGGGACAGGAAATGTGGATAAGAAATTGAAAGGATCACAATTACCACATAAAGTACTAGATATTCATAGAGAATAAAAATATTTTGTGAGTCTTTTCCCATTTCAGTGTGTAGTTTCACCGCACTGGACACGTTGGATACAGTGTTGCCCATTCATTGCATTGTTGGTCCTTTGATCAGATTTAGTTCGTTTACACAGAGGGTGTGTCTAGTATTAACTTCGGCTGTTATCTTCGCTTAATGAAATAAATAATGTAGCAAACTAAATGGCTGTAAAAAGATCATCCGAAACGTGTTGTGCACTCCACACTCTATGACCTTAACTGTTAAAACGTAACAATTTCATCTGATTGTTACGTTGTTTCAAAGTTACAATAGCAGTTGTGCTCGCGATGACACTGGCCTTGCTTATTTACTGTCCGTCACAGACACGGTGAGATAGCTTGACATTATATGATTTCCATCCACTAATTTTATTACACATTTTATTAGGATTTGCTGTGATTTATATATTTGCAATACGTGGACTATGATATTGTAAGCAATTGCGGACTTATACATGTTAAGGCATTTTATAATAATCTTCTTAATGTTTGCAATTAGCCTACCTATACCATAAATTCATGTACAAAAATAACATGAGGCATTCTTTATTAAGAGCAACAGAGCCAATCACTGCATAGTATTTTTCACAATACTACTTCTCTCTGGGGACTATCAGACTTTCAACGCTTGTTTTTCTGTCAGTGAATGCTTCTGCAATTTGCCACATGATTGTGTCACTCTTTTAACTAAGTTTCACAGATGTTGACTGTGAAATTTGGTCATGTTTTCACAAATTTCTGAACTGAGTATATATAATCATGGAAAACTGTCCTTCAATTATTTTACTGGGTTCTTTTATATGTGTTACCTCATGCTGCAAAGGGGGTATTGCCCTGCTGCATTATGATTACTTTAATTGTGGGCTAGCAGCTGAAGTTATTGATGGATATGGCTTTGGACATAGCTTTGCAAACTGTGTTTTACTGGCCCTCGAGGATGTCAAAGCTGATTTGTAATACAAAATATTGATATTATGATTTGGGGTCTTTCCTACAAAAGTCCAAACTGTAGGCAATACCTCATTAAATCTCAGGGAATTATAAAGATTAATGTTTGACAAATCATACATTTCATCCTATGCTGTGAATATACAGTATAAGTGCTCTCTAGATGTAAATGTTGATATGGTATAGCATTGAGTTAACCTGAATAAGTTGTTAAATAAGTCGACTTTTGATGAGCTATCTTGGTCCCCATCAGTGTAAAGAGGCTATAGCTTAAGGCTAATATCTACCTCTCAAGTTTAGTTTAGTTTATTTGGATCCTCGTTAACTACTGCACCCGCAGTAGCTACTCTTCCTGGGGTCCACATAAAACGTGCAAATACATGACAAAGTACAGAACAGTTATAGACAAACACAACATAAGATATTACATTAAATTCAAAATAAACAAAAACTAAAATAATATATACACTGCTCAAAAAAATAAAGGGAACACTTAAACAACACATCCTAGATCTGAATGAATGAAATAATCTTATTAAATACTTTTTTCTTTACATAGTTGAATGTGCTGACAACAAAATCACACAAAAATTATCAATGGAAATCAAATTTATCAACCCATGGAGGTCTGGATTTGGAGTCACCCTCAAAATTAAAGTGGAAAACCACACTACAGGCTGATCCAACTTTGATGTAATGTCCTTAAAACAAGTCAAAATGAGGCTCAGTAGTGTGTGTGGCCTCCACGTGCCTGTATGACCTCCCTACAACGCCTAGGCATGCTCCTGATGAGGTGGCGGATGGTCTCCTGAGGGATCTCCTCCCAGACCTGGACTAAAGCATCCGCCAACTCCTGGACAGTCTGTGGTGCAACGTGGCGTTGGTGGATGGAGCGAGACATGATGTCCCAGATGTGCTCAATTGGATTCAGGTCTGGGGAACGGGCGGGCCAGTCCATAGCATCAATGCCTTCCTCTTGCAGGAACTGCTGACACACTCCAGCCACATGAGGTCTAGCATTGTCTTGCATTAGGAGGAACCCAGGGCCAACCGCACCAGCATATGGTCTCACAAGGGGTCTGAGGATCTCATCTCGGTACCTAATGGCAGTCAGGCTACCTCTGGCGAGCACATGGAGGGCTGTGCGGCCCCCAAAAGAAATGCCACCCCACACCATGACTGACCCACCGCCAAACCGGTCATGCTGGAGGATGTTGCAGGCAGCAGAACGTTCTCCACGGCGTCTCCAGACTCTGTCACATGTGCTCAGTTGAACCTGCTTTCATCTGTGAAGAGCACAGGGCGCCAGTGGCGAATTTGCCAATCTTGATGTTCTCTGGCAAATGCCAAACGTCCTGCACGGTGTTGGGCTGTAAGCACAACCCCCACCTGTGGACATTGGGCCCTCATACCACCCTCATGGAGTCTGTTTCTGACCGTTTGAGCAGACACATGCACATTTGTGGCCTGCTGGAGGTAATTTTGCAGGGCTCTGGCAGTGCTCCTCCTGCTCCTCCTTGCACAAAGGGTGAGGTAGCGGTCCTGCTGCTGGTTTGTTGCCCTCCTACGGCCTCCTCCACGTCTCCTGATGTACTGGCCTGTCTCCTGGTAGCGCCTCCATGCTCTGGACACTACGTTGACAGACACAGCAAACCTTCTTGCCACAGCTCGCATTGATGTGCCATCCTGGATGAGCTGCACTACCTGAGCCACTTGTGTGGGTTGTAGACTCTGTCTCATGCTACCACTAGAGTGAAAGCACCGCCAGCATTCAAAAGTGACCAAAACATCAGCCAGGAAGCATAGGTACTGAGAAGTGGTCTGTGGTCACCACCTGCAGAACCACTTCTTTATTGGGGGTGTCTTGCTAATTGCCTATAATTTCCACCTGTTGTCTATTCCATTTGCACAACAGCATGTGAAATGTATTGTCAATCAGTGTTGCTTCCTAAGTGGACAGTTTGATTTCACAGAAGTGTGATTGACTTGGAGTTACATTGTGTTGTTTAAGTGTTCCCTTTATTTTTTTGAGCAGTGTGTGTGTGTGTATATATATATATATAATTGGAAAGACACCAAGAGACAACAAAAATACAATTTAAACACTTCATATATTAATATTCTTATATACGGTACAGTTAAATTAGATCTTTACAATATGTTTTTTTAAAGCTAAACATGCTTTTTGACTGAGTAACCTCTGGTGGCAGAGCATTCCACGATGACATGGCTCTATACATAACTGAGCTACGCTTTAAATCTGTTTTTGGTTTGGGTACCGTGAAGAAACCCATAGTGGCGTATGTATGTCTGTTTTGAAGTGTATGCAAATAGATTATACAGGTGGTTAGGCATTTTCAACATGGAAATGTTTCTTAAAAAGACTAGAAGAGAAGTAGTCCATTTCTCCTCAACCATGAAAGACTATCATGCATGTTGTTGATGTTAGTTCTGTGTGTGCAGTTAAGGGCTGCTTTGTTTTGAGCCAGCTGCAGCTTTGCTGGGTCTTTCTTTGCTGCACCTGACCATATTGCAGGACAGAAATCAAGATGGGCCAAGATCAGAGCCTGAACAACTAGTACAGTTGATATTTGTGTCAAAAACATAGAATATGTTTTTATAAGACCTAACTCTTCACAACTTTGTCAATATGACTTGACCATGATAACTGACCATCCAATGTTACGCCTAGGAGTTCAGCTTCTTTAACTTGTTCAATGGTCACACCCTATATGCACAACTCCAGTTGAGGTTTAGGTCTAAGAGGATGCTTTGAACCAAATACAATGCTTTTGGTTTTAAATGTATTTAAGACCAGTTTATTCTTAATGACCCATTCTGACACTGACTGTAACTCCTTGCTAAGAGTCTCAGTGAGCTCACTTGTAGTAGGTGCTAATCCTCAGCATACATAGTCATTTTAGCTTCTTGTAAGACAAGTGGCAAATCATTTGTAAAAATAAAGAAGAGTAACAGCCCAAGGCAACTGCCTTGAG